ATGGAGATGGTGGGGGCGGGGCTGGGGGGGTGGTCACAATGAAACAAATCAGTTCAGTGGGGGGGATGGGAGGTTCCCAAATACACAAGAATGGTTTCAAGTCCAATTATGAAAGGATCAGCGCAGTCTTAATCCAGCTGCAAAGGAGCAGAGTCTTCAAATTATTTTAATTAAGAATATGCTGAAGCAATAAGCCATCCAAAGTGGAAAGTCTCAGCTGGGGAGGTGGGGTGGGCAAGCTGGGCGGCAGTCAATAGCTTTGGCTAACTAATATTCCCACATACTGCTCACTTCAACACAAGCACTGGCTATGCTTTTGGGGGCTGATGGGAGTTGTAGTTCAGCAACATCTGGAGGCTACAGGTTTCTACACTTGGCCTGGGCCTTCAAATAATAGAACTGAAGAGTTGGAAGGGACTGCCAAAGCTCATCTAGCCCAACCCCCTTATGGAAGCACTGGAATACCAAACTTGATAAGATACTATCAGGCAGCAAAACTCTTCAATTGGACTAGTCATACAGATGAAGCGCTACTGAAAGCAGAAGACGAACTTTACAGGAAACCGTAGACCAGCTGGGAGGTTGCTGCTCTTGGTGGGGTTACACACCTTCTGAAGGAGCAGGTACACAGCAAGCCAGGAAGGGCTGGGCAATGGGCTTTGTGGGGGGTGATGAATGCTTCCCTCTGTGAGGGAGTCTTCCTGGATCCCCTTAAAGAAGTGATTATTCAACCACTTCTTTAAAAAAAAGCATTCCATTCTTGGGCAAAGTGATTCAACAGGTGGTTGCTGAACAACTCTTCCAATTGGGATTCGGGACCCATCCCAGGACTGAAACTGCCTTGGTTACGCTGGTTAATGAACTCTAGCTGGCTAGGGACAGAGGTGAAAGCTGTTTCCTAGTTCTGCTGGATCTTTCATCGGCTTTGGATACCATTGACCATGGTATCTAGGGGGGTTGGGAGCTGGGGGCACTGATGGGTTTCCCTAGCTACTCTGGGCAGCTCCCCACACAATATTAAAAACACAATAAAACATCAAACATTACAAACTTCCCTAAACAGGGCTGCCTTCAGATGTCTTCTGAAAGTCAGATAGTTGTTTATTTCCTTGACATCTGATGGGAGGGAATTCCACAGGGCGGGCGCCACCACCGAGAAGGCCCTCTGCCTGGAGGGAACTGCCAGAAGGCCCTTGGAGCTGGACCACAGTGTCCAGGCTGAATGATGGGGGTGGAGATGCTTCTTCCTCCTGGGCTGTGTCCAGAAAGTGGTGTTGGGGGATGAGTGTTGAGACCCCTGAGCTCTCACTTGTGGGGGGCCTCAGGGTTCCGTCCTCTCCCTGATGCTTTTTGACATCTATATGAAGCTGCTGGGCAAGATAATCAGGGGGTTTGGGCTGGGTGTATATGGCCGATACCCAGCTCTACCTCTCCTTTAAGTCGGGGACCAATGAAGGCGATTAATGTCCTGTGTGAATATCTGGAGGCGGGTGGAAGGTGTTTAATGGATTGAAGTTGAATTCTGACAAGACAGAAGTACTGTTTTGGGCGGATGGGGGAAGATGACCAGGTGTACAGCCTAGGAGTCATTTTGGACTCACAGCTATCCATGGAGGCGCAGGTCAATTCTGTGTCCAGGGAAGCTGTCTACCAGCTCCATCTGGTCCACAGACTGAGACCCTCCCTGCCCACAGACTGTCTCACCAGAATGGTGCATGCTCTGGTTATCTCCTGCTTCGACAGCTGTCATGCGTTCTACGTGGGGCTACCTTTGGAGGTGACTCAGAAATGACAACTAATCCAGAATGCGGCAGCTAGACTGGTGACTGTGAGCAGCCGCTGGGACCATATAACCCTGGTCCTAAAGGATCAACACTGGCTCCCAGTCCATTTCCGAGCACAATTCAAAGTGTTGGTGCTATCAAGCTTTTGATAACATTTCTTGGACTTTTATGAAAAAAAACTTACAGGGTATGGGGGTAGGCCAAGGTTTTGAAAATGGTATAAGTGCAATATATTCTGAACAAAAGGCTAAATTAATTGTAAATAATGTGGTGACGGAAGAATTTAAGATAGAAAAAGGGACACAACAAGGTTGCCCAATCTCCCCATTGCTTTTTATATCGGTCCTGGAGGTTCTGCTGAATATGATAAGAAGGGACCAGTTGGTTAAAGGTGTACAGGTCGGAGCCAAACAGTACAAATTGAGCGCATTTGCAGATGACTTAGTATTGACGTTACAGGAGCCAGAATCTAGTACCAAAAGGGTTTTAGAACCGATTCAAGAATTTGGTCAAGTTGCAGGATTTAAATTGAATAAGTTAAAAACCAAGGTTTTAGAGAAAAATTTAACACCAATGGAGAGAGAGAGGTTTCAGAATGAGACAGGTTTAACAGTGGTTAAGAAAGTTAAATACCTGGGGATTAACATGACAGCAAAAATGGGAATTTATTTAAAGACAACTATGAAAAATGCTGGTCTGAAGTGAAAAAAGATTTAGAAATTTGGTCAAATTTGAAGCTTTCACTGCTGGGTCGTATTGCTGCGGTAAAAATGAATGTATTGCCTAGAATGTTGTTTTTGTTTCAAACATTGCAAATTGTGGACAAAATGGACTGTTTCAAGAGGTGGCAGAGAGATATTTCTAGATTTGTCTGGCAGGGCAAGAAGCCTAGAATAAAATTTAAAATATTAACAGATGCAAAGGAAAGAGGTGGATTTGCCCTGCCAGACTTTAAACTTTACTATGAATCAGCAGCCTTTTGCTGGTTGAAAGAATGGCTGCTTCTTGAAAACACTGACATTTTGGATCTAGAAGGTTTTAACAATGTATTTGGATGGCATGCATATCTGTGGTATGATAAGGTCAAAGCACATAAAGCATTTAAAAACCATATTGTCAGGAAAGCATTGTTTAATGTTTGGATAAGATACAAGGACTTATTGGAAAATAAAACCCCAAGGTGGCTGTCACCGATGGAAGCCAAAGCTCTGAAAAAGCTCAATATGGAGGTCAAATGGCCAAAATATTGGGAAATTTTGGAACAAGATGGAGATAGACTGAAATTGCAGAGTTTTGAAAAACTAAAAAACAAAGTGTGATGCTGGCTTCATTATTATCAGATAATGGAGGCATACAATTTGGATAAGAAAATCGGCTTCCAGGTGGAAAAATCAAAATTAGAAACAGAATTGTTAGAACCCAAAACTAAGATTTTGTAAAAGATGTATAACTTGCTGTTGAAATGGAATACTCAGGATGAAACGGTGAAATCTACTATGATTAAATGGGCACAAGATGTTGGATATAACATAATGATGGCTGACTGGGAACAGTTATGGACCACAGGTATGAAGTTTACGGCATGCAATGCCTTAAGAGAGAATATTATGAAAATGATATACAGGTGGTACATGACCCCAGTCAAGCTTGCAAAAATCTACCATTTGCCCGATAATAAATGTTGGAAATGTAAGGAAACTGAAGGTACATTCTTTCACCTTTGGTGGACGTGCCCAAGGATTAAGGCTTTCTGGGAGATGATATATAATGAATTGAAAAAGGTATTTAAATATACCTTCTTGAAGAAACCAGAGGCCTTTCTCCTGGGCATAGTCGGCCAATCAGTGTTAAAGAAGGACAGAACTTTTTTTATGTATGCCACAACAGCAGCAAGAATACTTATTGCAAAGTACTGGAAGACACAAGATCTACCCACTCTGGAAGAATGGCAGATGAAGGTGATGGACTATATGGAATTGGCGGAAATGACTGGCAGAATCCGAGACCAGGGAGAAGAGTTGGTGGAAGAAGATTGGAGGAAATTTAAAGACTATTTACAGAAATATTGCAAAATTAACGAATGTTAGAATGATGTTGGATTGAAGTTAAGTGGTTTCTAGCTGTAATGGTATAAAAGAATATGAAAGAATTGGATTTTTAACAGGTAAAAATTTAATGCTATAATATATTAAGATTAAAGATCAGGATAAAATAAGGAGGGAAAGGAATTGCTGAACTAATAAATTGAAATGGAATACAAAAAAGGGAGGTATGAGGAGGTCCGGGAAACAAGCAAATGAAAGATAAGTGACAAAAAGATGGAATTGTTTTTAACTGTTTTTTATTTTGTATTTTTCTTTTTTCTTTTTCATTATATAATATTGTGAAAACTTTAATAAATATTTATTAAAAAAAAAACAAAGTGTTGGTGCTGACCTTTAAAGCCCTAAACGGCCTTGGCCTAGTATACACCTGAAGGAGCATCTCCACCCCCCTTGTTCCACCCGGACACTGAGGTCCAGCGCCGAGGGCCTTCTGGTAGTTTCCTCATTGTGAGAAGTGAGGTTACAGGGAACCAAGCAGAGGGCCTTCTCGGTGGTGGCACCCGCCCTGTGGAACACCCTCCCATCAGATGTCAAGGAAATAAAGAACTACACAACTTTTGGAAGACATCTGAAGGCAGCCCTGTATCCAGAGGTTTCTAATGTTTAAGAAGTTTTTGTATATACTGGAAGCTGCCCAGTACAATGGGTTGAGTACTACTACTACTACTACTACTACTACTATTATTCCAACTCTACCATTCTGTGGTTCTAAGGTTTGTGCAGGTGGCGGGTGGTTGTCCCTCTCACTGAAAATGAGCAGCCGGAGCCCCTGTGTGGGTCCTGGAACCCCTTAGGTGTCCGGTAGAAAAGGGTGGACTTCAATCCTCACCCAAGGAAGCTGAGGAGTCAATTAACTCCCTGTACTTGGGGTCTGGGAATATCCCACATCCCCTTGAAGGCACCATGCAAATGCATGAGTTTGTGCTGAGTGCAGAATGCAACATTCCAAAATGAAAAGCTTTCATTTAGGGAAAAGTGGTAGTGGAAGTGAGGCCCTGTTCACCCCATCTGCCCTTCTTCCATATAAATATTAAGTTTAAAGTCAAAACTTTGAACAGGAAGCCTCCCCATCTACACCAGTTTACTTTAAAGAAAATAGGAGTAAACCAAATAGGATTTTAATTTTTAATTTTAGTGCACAATTCCAAAGCCCACCCCTCCCAACGTGTGAAGTTCAAGGGCAGCCAGCTCCCTTCCCTCATTCCAGGCAAATTGAAGAATTTCCGGTGAGGCGAGGCTAAGGCTGGACTCTTCCTCCTCCAGTGTCAGTTCATTGTGTGATCAGCCCGGGGTGCAAGAGAGCCCTGTCTGTTTATGGCAGAGAGAGAGAGAGAGAGAGAGAAGGGAAACAAAGGGTTAATTCAGGTGTGCTTGTCTTGCACCTGCATCTGGTTAGTGTGAGGCAGCAAACTTGTGAGAGAGTCAGAAAGTGACTCAGCTGTTCCATCACGCAGCACAAAACCTCCAGATTTAAAACCTGGCAAACCAAAGGCTTATACCACCTAACAGACTTCTACAAAAATAACAAACCCCTACCAACACAAGAAATGCAGGACAAACTAGGGGACACCCAAATGCCCTGGCTAACACACCACCAATTACATGCCCTCTTAGACTTCCGGTCTACTGCGGAGGATAATGGTGGTGTACTCCATGTTGTCTGAATAAAAAGACGACACGGTCCCGGCAAAGTAGGGTTTGAGGGTGCCGCCAGGGCTCGGCGCACCCTCAAAAACCTCCTCCTAACAACGAAAGGACATGGCAAAGCGATGGTGTCTGCAATCCAAAATCCCACAATCCCAGACGTAGTAAATAAAAAATGGGAGGACAAGATAGGCTATGAGATTAACGCTACCCAAAGGACTAGAATGTGGTCTAAACCTCCCTTTAAATCCGTATCAGCAAACGCAGTCTTTCATGGGCGGGAGCTTCTGTAATTGACCAGCATGTCGGTGGCCGGGCGAAGGTGGAGCCTGTTCTGGTGGCAAGTCACCAGGGCCACGCGTTGGTCACAGCTGGCGCGCTTCTTGTCCTGGGCAGCCAAGTTGCACTCCGCGAAGTCAATGAGGAGCTCCACCTGCTCGTGCAGGGAGAGGGACTTGTACCTCCTCTGTGCCAGGAAGCAAATCGCCTCCACAAAAGCGTGCAAGTCCATCCCTAGAAGGAAAAGGGAAAAGAAAGCGTCAGAAATCTCCCGAGGCTTTCGTTCTGCACTGTCTTGGTTTATATCGCTTTTTGGTGGTTTTATTGCAGCACCTCAGTCAAGCAGCAGCCGCTATGGAGAAATTACCTTAATACATGTCCAAGCGTTCAACTGCGGGGACGGATCCCGTTCGCATCCAGAGGTACCACTGTATTTATTTATATTTCACCTTTTCCCCAGACTAGGATTCAAGGGGGTTTACAGATAAAAATAACAACAGCTAAAAACATAGGAAAAATTATTTAAAAATCAATTAACCTATGATAGAATATCTATATATGGGATATTAATAAAAATAGGACAGCACTACTGAAAATCAGCTGCTGGAAACTATAGGAGGGGAGAGACAGTTCTTGTGCTGGGGACCTGTTTGCTGGGTTTGGCCACCGTGCGAACAGGATACTGCACTAAATGGCCTGATCCAGGAGGGCTCTTATATTCCAAGTTATTTTTGCAGAATACGGTGGTGCCTCGCAAGACGAAAAGAATCCGTTCTGTGAGTCTCTTCGTCTTGCGGGTTTTTTCGTCTTGCGAAGCAAGCCCATTAGCGGTTTAGCGGATTAGTGCTACAGTATTAGCGGCTTAGCGGGCTTAGTGGATCAGCTGATAAGCGGCTTAACGATAAGCTGATAAGCGGCTTAACGATAAGCTGATAAGCGGCTTAACGATCAGCTGATAAGCGGCTTAGCATCAGCTGTTAAGCGGCTTAGCGATCAGCTGTTAAGCGGCTTAGCGGATCAGCTGTTAAGCGGCTTAGCGGCTTGGGAAAAAGGGGGGGGGAGGAAAAAACCCCCGCAGGAACTCGCAAGAGATTTTCGTCTTGCGAAGCAAGCACATAGGAAATTCGTTTTGCGAAGCACCTCCAAAACGGAAAACCCTTTCGTCTAGCGGGTTTTCCGTCTTGCGAGGCATTCGTCTTGCGGGGCACCACTGTAACTGAATGCTCCCCCACTGCCAGCTTAGCACTCTCAGCACACACACTCACACACACACACACACACACACACAGCGTCTGTGGATTAAAAGCACCCCCCTATTTCTGCTTCTTGGGAGAGCATGGAGGTGGGAATGGGGAAAGAGGGGTATTCACCTAACCCCCCCCCATCCCAACTCACTCTTAATTTCCATTCCCAGCTCCTTGGACTGAAAACTTATTCATGGATGTTAAAATAAAGCCCATCCATTACATTTTTTAATAAAACCTGGCAATTAAATCGGCACAAGAGACACAAAATGGAGCATTTAAAGGCTTCCCGTTGTTAACGTTCATTGGGTAAGTGGAGCACATATTAAAAACCTGACGGGGAACAGAAAAGAAAGGGGGAGTGGAGGGAGAGAGAAGCCCCTTGCAAAATAAATTTTACAAATGTGGGTTTTTCATTTTGGCTCTTCGTGCGTGTCCCCCTTTTATGGGCCCTCAGTGTGACGCTATTCAAGGCTTGTCTTCCTACGGAGCAAGGATATAATTGAAATGGAAATAATTTATTGTCACTTGTACAACTTGTATACAGTGAGATTACACGAGCATCCCCCACTCAGCTCTCTTAGTCTTAATTCCCCTCGTTTACTGACGCACACCCACCAACCCAAAAGTCAGTTGCCCTGTTGTAATCTTTTCATTCAGTAGCCTAACAGCCCACGGATAGAAGCTGTTCTTTACCCTGTTGGCGCGACTAATCATGCTTCTGTATCTTCTGCCTGAGGGCAGGAGATCAAGGAAGTGCCGGCCAGGGTGTGAATCATCCCTGAGAATTTTCCTCACTCTCCTGAGACAACGTTCTTCCGCTGTTTCATCCAGCGGATTCACGGGACAGCCCATAATCTCTTGTGCTGTATCCACCACCCTGTGTAGGTACTTCCTATCAGTTGATGTCAAACCAGCGTACCACACCGTGATGCAGTATGAAAGGACACTTTCTATTGTGGACCGGTAGAAGGAGATCATCAAATGTTGATTGACATCCTTCTTCCGCAATACTCTGAGGAGATGGAGTCTCTGCTGGGCTTTCTTAACCACCTGGGTTGTATTGATTTTCCAAGTAAGGTCTTCACTGAGATAAACTCCTAGGAATTTAGAGGAAGAGACTCTCTCCACACAGCCCTCCCCGATGTACAGCAAGCACTTGGGCTGCAAATGACAACCTACCTGTGGCCCCCACTTCCCTTGCCTCATGCCTGGCAACTCCACCTGCATTGCCAGAGAAGAACATAGCAAGAGCCTGATACTTCAGGCCACCGGCCCTATCAGCAGCCAACCAGATGCCTGTGGAAAATCCGCAAGCAGGATCCTCCAGGGTCCTCGCCCCTTGTGTGCTTTCCAGCAACTGGTATTCAGAAGCATTTACTGCCTCCAAGCGGGAAGGCAGAGCACAGCCAACATGGCTAGGAGCCATCGCTAGCCCTCTCCTCCTCTGTGAATTTCATAGAATAGAATCATATAATCATAGAAGAGTTGGAAGAGACCACAAGGGCCATCGAGTCCAACCCCCTGCCAAGCAGGAAACACCATCAGAGCACTCCTGACATATGGTTGTCAAGCCTCTGCTTAAAGACCTCCAAAGAAGGAGACTCCACCACACTCCTTGGCAGCAAATTCCACTGTCGAACAGCTCTTACTGTCAGGAAGTTCTTCCTAATGTTTAGGTGGAATCTTCTTTCTTGTAGTTTGGATCCATTGCTCCGTGTCCGCTTCTCTGGAGCAGCAGAAAACAACCTTTCTCCCTCCTCTATGTGACATCCTTTTATATATTTGAACATGGCTATCATATCACCCCTTAACCTCCTCTTCTCCAGGCTAAACATGCCCAGCTCCCTTAGCCGTTCCTCATAAGGCATCGTTTCCAGGCCTTTGACCATTTTGGTTGCCCTCCTCTGGACACGTTCCAGTTTGTCAGTGTCCTTCTTGAACTGTGGTGCCCAGAACTGGACACAGTACTCCAGGTGAGGTCTGACCAGAGCAGAATACAGTGGCACTATTACCACTGAATTTGTCCAATCCTCTTTTAATCCATCCATGTTGGTGGCCACCACTGCCTCCCTTGGGAGCCAGCCCCATAGTTTTAATGGCGCACAGTACAATGAAAGTACTTCAACTGGTAGAAGGAAATGTGCCAGAGCACTATTATTATTATTATTATTATTATTATTATTATTATTATTTTCATCTCTACCCTTTCACCCACCCCAAATTGCTTTGGAAGTGGCTTGTAGCCAGGACAATTTGTGGACCAGATGTATTGTGTGGCTCAAGAGTAAACATTCGGATTTCAGAGGAGGAGGAGGAGGGGTGGGAAGAAAGAGAGGAACTCTTGCTACCTTGAATGCAGCACAAAATAAATATTTTTCTCGTCACCCGTCCCAGTCAGCAGAAAAAAGAGAAGAAGACGACATATGATGCCAATAAACATACTGCACAAACAAAAATCTGTGCTAGCGATACTCCACAAACAACAGATTCTGCTTATCCACAGAAAAATTTAGGATGGAAAAAGGGGAAAGGAAAATAAAACCTCTCACCGAATTAACAATAGGCCAGATGGCAATGCTTGCTTGAAGCAATAAATGTAGGGGGGAAATAAAGCTTCCTCTTGCTCTGGTTGCCCATCAATTCCACTAGTTACTAAAGAAATTCAGAAGTTGGGCATTTCCTCTAAGCCAGGGGTAGGCAACCCAAGGCCCGGGGCCAGGATCCAGCCCAATCGCCTTCTCAATCCGGCCCACGGACAGTCCGGGAATCAGCGTGTTTTGACAATGTGTGCTTTTATTTAAAATGCACCTCTGGGTTATTTGTGGGGCATAGGAATTCGTTCATGTTGTTTTTCCCCCCAAAATATAGTCTGGCCCCCCCATAAGGTCTGAGGGATGGTGGACCGGCCCACGGCTGAAAAAGGTTGCTGACCCCTGCTCTAAACTTTTTGCAGCAGCAATTTCACTACTGCCATCAGGATACGGATCCTGCCTCAGCCAAATTTCAGCTTTGGGGGAAGAGATTTGGAGGGGTGGGAAGTTGATGGTGAGGAGCCTGAGTCCCTAAAGTGAAACCTAATATGGACACTAACCCTCAGGAGGCCTCCATTTCAGCACCCAAAATAAAATTGCAGGGGTTGGACTAGATGACCCTCAGGATTCCTTCCACCTCTACAATTCTAGGATTCCCTCTTACTGACTTTGGGTCTACAATACCTTGACAGGGAGGCCTCTTGCATTGCTTCAATGAGTTTTTAACCCAATAAAAAAAGTGTTCTCTGCAAGAGTCATGAGGAAATTTTCTTCTTCTTTGCTAGTACAAGCCCTTGAGAGCTTCTACAAAGAGCCCTGTTGCATCAGACCAAAGGAGAAAGGCCTTCTACTGAATCAGACCCCAAACCTATTTAGCTCAGTCTTGTCTATACTGGCTGGCAGCAGTTCCCCAGGACTTCAGGTCTAAGGACTCCCAACCCTGCCTGTTTTGGAAAATGCTTTGTCTGCCCCTCGTTTGTCCATTCGTCCGTCCATCTGTTCTCTATGGGTACGGACTCCTCTTGAGATGTCATCACCAAGCTGAGCATGAGGATTCCCAAGGTAGGGGCAATAGCCTTCAGAAATATTTGGATGCTGGGTACCATTCCAGTGAGCCCTGAGTGCTCACTGGAAGGACAGATCCTGAAGCTGAGACTCCAAGACTTTGGCCACCTCATGAGAAGAGAAGACTCCCTGGAAAAGACCCTGATGCTGGGAAAGATGGAGGGCACAAGGAGAAGGGGATGACAGAGGACAAGATGGTTGGATAGTGTTCTCGAAGCTACCAGCATGAGTTTGACCAAACTGTGGGAGGCAGTGGAAGACAGGAGTGCCTGGCGTGCTCTGGTCCAGGGACTCATGAAGAGTCAGACATGACTAAACAACAACAGCCATTCTGAATCAAGGTGGCAGACAAAACACATGAATTTGGAATGCCTTCACCCATCTCTGGGCATAGTTTTGACCATCTCTTGAGACACCATCACTAAACATGGCACAAGAGTGCTTGAGGCAGTGTTGGCAACCCTCATTGACATTTGGGTGCTGGTCACCAACTTGAATCAAGATGGTGGAGCAAAACATGGCTTTCATGTGACTTTGCCTGATTTTGGGCATGGCTGGCCCAAACTCACAAATTACACTATCAATCACAATAATTTTTGGGTTTCTACAAATTCCCAGGCAGTGCCAGGCACTCCCTACTATATAATAAATGCCCACCAACTGGTTTCCTATTTTCCCTTCAGTCCTGCTACATTGTGAGTTATTTACTCTGCAAGTTCTGTTCTCCCCTGCATTCATTAACCGTAAATCTAGCCCTGTAACTTGTAAACCTTTCCAGGTTTGGACTTCAGAGAGCCTCACTGCAACATTCTTAATAGCCCTTATGTCTTAGGTATTAATTATTCATCCCTCCCCCCATGAAAGCAAGGACCACTGGGGATGTGTGTGGAATCAATTTTCCTCTTCCCTCCCTGCCCCTTTCCCCTTGTATGCTATGCTTATTTTTAGACTGTAAGCCTGCCAAGGGCAGAGGCTGCCTTGCTTTGGATTGCATGCAAACTGCTCTTGGGAAGCTGTTTGGCTGAAGAGGAGCAAGGTACAAATGCTCCACGTAAATACATACCGTATTTTTCGCTCTATAAGATGCACCCGTCCATAAGACGCACTTAGTTTTAGAGGAGGAGAACAAGAAAAAAAATATTCTCTCCCTCTCTGCGCAGCTCCTTTCCAGCAAAGCGGGAGGAGCAACAGAAGGGGCTCCATTTCTGCTCCCGCTTTGCTGAAGGGGCGCTGCGCAGAGAGGGGAAGCTGCGCTGTGCCTCTCCAGCGAAGTGAAGTCAGAACAGCAAGAGGGATTGCTGCGCAGCGAAAGCAGCGATTCCTCTTGCTGTTCTGGCTTCTGGGATAACGTTCCTCCTGTTGCCCTGAAGAGGCTTTGTGCGGCTATCCCTGAAGCCAGGAGAGTGAGAGGGATCAGTGCACGCCGATCCCTCTTGCTGTTCTGGCTTCAGGGATAGCTGAACAGCCTGCATTCGCTCCATAAGACGCACACACATTTCCCCTTACTTTTTAGGAGGGGAAAAGTGTGTCTTGTAGAGCAAAAAATATGGCATATCCACATGCACTACCCTGCCCTACCCCCTACCCCCCAAAAGAACTGCACCCAGAATTATGCAAGACGGCTTACCTGCATCTCGCTGATCAGCAGTGATGCCATACCGCTTCCTGGTGATGTCAATGTACAGGATGTCTGCGGAAGCCATGCTGAAGTCACTGTTGCTTATCTTGCTGTTCCTGGTGGCAGGAAAAGAGAACTGTGAGGGAATCAGCCTGGGGGGGGTAGGGGCGCAGAGCAAACTCCCAATGGCACCATGAACTAAAGCAGCTCTCGAGGCAAAAGACAGAAGCGCTATGGGTTTTGCCTCCTTTGGCAACCTTTTTTTTACCTTTATGCTCTTGTCATGGGTGTAGCCAGAGGGGACAGTGCCCCTCCCCAGATAATAATAATAATAATTTATTTATTTATATCCCGCCCTCCCCAGCCGAAGCCAGGCTCAGAGCGGCTAGCAACAATAAAAGTAACACGGCATTCTAAAATCAAGTAAAACAATAGAAATACTTAACTAACTGAACCAATCACGTCATTCTGCCCCACCCCAAAGTCCTCCCCACTAACAAAAACCCTGATTATGCCCATTATTCTTGAGAATGTTTTTTTTATTTTAGAAGCTAATTGGGGGTGTGTATTGGTTTGTTCTGTTCTTGTTTTTATTATGTATTTTGTGTTTTTAATATTGTATTTGCATGTTGTGAACCGCCCTGAGATCTATGGATGAAGGATGGTATATGAATTTAAATAAATAATAACAATAATAGGGGGGGCTTTTGGTACTGGTCTCCCTCACCTTTATTTCTTATTTCCCACTTGGCGTTTTTTTTCTTTTTTAAAAAAAGACAGACGCCCCAGGTTCAAATCTCACCTCAGGCCCAGCTGAGTATATCGTATACTGATACTCTCTCTGCCTCAGCCCCACATAAGGTTACCAGATGTCTCCATTTCCCGGGGATAGCCCCCGGATTTACAAATCAGTCCCCATACAAAATCCATTGAAGTTGAAAATTGTCCCCGGATTCATTATAGAATCATAGAATCATAGAATCATAGAGTTGGAAGAGACCACAAGGGCCATCGAGTCCAACCCCCTGCCAAGCAGGAAACACCTTCAGAGCACTCCTGACATATGGTTGTCAAGCCTCTGCTTAAAGACCTCCAAAGAAGGGGGGGGGGGGAAATCTGGTAACCTTACATACAGTGGCTGGCATTTGAGGCAGACTGCCCTTGAAAGTGGAGGCTCCATCTAGCCTACGTAGCCAAAGAGGAAGGTAGTTTTAGCTAAGGGAGATCAGCTCAAATCAATTCCTGATGTCCCCAACAGGGAAAGATGATATACATGCACGGCAGTACTGGTCCCCAACCATCGCAATAAAGAGCTGATTTGATTTAAATAAACAACTCTTTATTGATGGTACAAGTTTTTAAATTAGATCCGAAAGCAAGTTGGGGGCAGGCGAGTGTCAATCTGGAGAGGGCGATTAATGCTTTATTGATCTGTGACACACTGACGTAAGAACGTAAGAACCTATGAAGGGCCTGTTGAGTCAGCCCAGGGCCCATCGAATCCAGAATCCTGTTCTCACAGTGACAAAGCAGAGGCCCTTTATGAGAAACCTACAAGAATGACCCTGCAGAGCAGAACCACTGTGGCTGGTAGCCAGTCATAGCATTATCCTCCTCTATTAAACTGCTCAACTCTTTTAAAGTATGGTTATCAGATATTTTTCAATGAATCTGGGGACACTTTTTTTTTCTTTTTTTCCCTTTAAGCTGAGTAGCAACTGGGAGTCAGTAGTGGGGATGGTGAGGCCAAAGACCCTGGGCCCAAGCACACATGCAGATTGTATAAACGTGCAAAGCCCTTCTTTCGCATGCTGTGAAACATAAATGCACAGAGTTTTTAAAAAACTGAGCAACGGCCGCCCGCAACTCCCGAGCCTCAGTCAAAACAAAGGGGGAAGGGGGCAGGAGATCTGTACCGCTGGACATCCCCGGTTCCCCTTTAGCAGTGGCTGACAAGCACATCATATGAGGACTTCCGGAAAGGGAAAATGGCGGGCGCCATGGCAGCGAGCAGCTCGTGAAGCCAGCCGGAGCCAAATGCGCTACCAGGCTGGCTCCGGGATGCTGAGGCTGCCGCTGCCATGTTTCCCAGGAACAGAATTGCAAATCCGGGGACATTCCAGGGACGGAATTCGTCTGGGGATAGATTTTCAAATCTGGGGACTGTCCCCGGAAACCGGGGAGGTCTGGTAACCCTATTTTAAAGTCATCTAGGTCAGCAGCCATTGCTCCTGCAGTAGTGAGTTCCATGTGCTGCGTAAAGAAGTGCTTTCATTTAACTGACCACGATTGGGTTGGGCCAGTGGGAACAGGGTGGAGGTCTTGGTGGCTGGCCAGCCATTCCCTCTGTTCTTAGTGGACCATGTTATTTATGATGGATTCAAACTGCAAGATTCCAGCTAAACATCAGGAAGGACCTCCTGACAGAAGGAGCTGTTTGACTGTGGAACGGACCCCCTTGGAATGGGGTGGGCTCTCCTCCCTTGGAGGCTTTTGAACAGAGTCTTGGCAGCCATCCTTCAAGGATTCTTCAGGTGAGATTCCTGCATTGCAGGGGGCTGGACTAGATTACCCCTGAGGGTACCTTCCAACTCTACAATTATCTCTGATCTTAAGGGGAACCACATCCAGGCATTTCAAACAGTGAGTTACCTTTGGGAAATTATTCCAGAAGACCCCCCTCACCTTATAAACATCCGGAAGCCCGTGGGTCCCAATTTTGTCGTCCCCTTCACGCCCAGGAAACGGATGAACAAAGCTGCAATCCGGTCGACCAGCCGCAGATAGTCAAATTCCTTTGCGTACTTCGGATACACCTCCCTCAGGCAAATGGAAGGGAACTTAGCTTCTGAGGTCTTGCTGTCACCCAGCTCTGGGTTTTCCACGGACCCTTCCTCGAGCAAATCATTCTCCCTCTCCCATTCAGCCTCTGAAGCCTCAGCCCTGCAGGGCAAACACAAAGACAAAGATTGCATCAATGCATCTTCATTGCTTCCCATCTCGCGGCTGCCACTGCCATGATCCCATTCGAGAAGCGACCATATCCATCCATTAACACCCTTGCCGGCGTTCAGTACCATAAAAACTCATTTTCAAGGGCTTAGCAGAGAAACTGGGTGCAAACATTTGCTCAGGCTTTAGCAGAAAGCATTTTGTGCAATAGAAAAAGGGTGGCGGCGGCAGGAAACCTTCGCTTCAGCCATTGCTAAGGCCCTTGAAAATAAAAACACACCTGTGAGCATCTATCAGGCCTTCCAGCTATCTGTGGCATGTTTGTGGTCAAGATTCCTGCTGTTTGGCTTACGCCAGTGTAGGCATGCACAAATGACCCAATGGAGCACCGGGAAGGTTGTAGCTCATCTGCTTTCCATGTTTTTATTTAGTCATTTGTTTATTAAATTTATTAGCTGCTTGATACCTAAAGGGTTTCCAAACAATTGATGTTGGGGAAAATAAATATGCACAACACAACTACCATTATACTTTTGTTGTTGGCATCTGCCTGTCTCAAGCGACAATGGAATGTGCCTCCAGAGGTGATGTCAAATCGCTGCATTAGCAACACTGAAGTGATGTCTCTGGGGTACAAGCCTGGCCAGTGTTTATAAATATTTTGATAATGCTTTATGGAAACTAATACAATACTCTCCAGAATTAGCTGCATCACAGTGTCTGCCATCCTTGACCAATTGGCCACACTGGCTAGGGGGGATGGAAGTTAAGAGTGCAACAAACATCTGGAGAGAACCACAGCTGGGTACTGCTGCTTTATAGAATGGGGAACCTCACTGAATATGTACAAAAGGGAAGGAAGCGGTCAACATGCCACATGTCATGTAAGCAGACTAGGGTAGGGGGGAGGTCTTCACCTTGCAGCACCAACCCCAAGGCAGGTAGCGATTTTATTTAGCTTTTCCCTAAAAATTATATACCACTGGATTGCAACACGCCACCCAAAATAAAACCCTCAAGGCAGTTTACAAAAAAAGAAGAAAACAATAAAAATATAAATAAAAACAGTAAAAATAGCTATTTAAAATGTAAAATAATTAAAATCAACGATAAGCTGAAAACATATTAAAACACACATAAACACCCTACATGTCTGAATAGGCTTGCCTAAACAAAAGCACTTTCAGGAGGTTCCAGAAAGAGTACAGTGAAGGCGCCTGCTTGATATCAATAGGCAGGGAGTTCCAAAGGACGATGGCACCAACATAATAAAATGTGGATTTCTTACAAACGCAGAGCGAGTATTCTGTGGCACCTGTAATAGTGCCATTCCTGCTGATGGCAGCGGTCAAGCGGGTGCCTGTGAGGTAAGGCGATCTCGTAAGTAAACTGGTCCCAAGTTGTTAAGGTCTTTATATACTAATATTTCTGTGATTTTAAGTAGTTGAAAGCTGTTAATTAATTGTTGTCACTCGCCTTGGGTGAAGGATGGGTAATAAACTGTCGTAGCTGTGATAATATTAATAATAATGGCAACAGCTTAAACCTGGCCCGGTAGCAAATGGGCAGCCAGTGCAGATCTCTAGGCACAGGTGTTAAATGCTGACAAGGCCTCGCTCCTGCAGCATTCTGCCCTAACTGAAGCCCCCGGATAAAGGGAAGTCCCACATGGAGCGCACTGCAGCAGCCCAGCCTCGAAGCGACCAAGATGGAACCACAATGTTCACTTCTTCCTTCCTCCCAAATGCCTCGTGTGTTTGTCATGAGCAGGGAGGGCACTTGTATTTCACTTTTGGGGGGGAATTTTTTTTCTTCCATCTCACAGCTGCCTGACTAGTCAGGTGCTGAGGCTGAACCAGGGAGGGAGCCTGAGCCAATCCGCTTTGGCAAGCGCAGGGCCACTCGCTGCATCACTTCAGGTGCTTTCTGGACGCAGCTCATTACGCGAAGCCTGCATAACCAAGGAGGTCAGGCCTGGACGCCCATGCAAATCCATAAAGCCAGATTTTAACTGGGATGTTAACAATTCTTAAAGTGGGGGGTATGTTTAAATTCTCTGCTTAAGAACTACACATGTGGATTCCCCCCCCCCCCTTTCCTCAACTGTTAGGTAAAATAGATCCCACCTGAAAAGTCCTGTTACATTTCCTCCTTGATCTTGTGGCATTTAGGGAGCCACTGAGTCATGTTGGTGACATTCTTCCCAAGGAATCCCAGGTACCAACATAACTCTCATTAAAAAAACAAACCTGTTCAGTGTGGCTCTGAGACAGAAGATAGACAGAAAAAACCAACCTCCTAATTTCCTTTTGACCCAGACATTGTCGTTTAACCAGTGCTATCAATGTCCACAGAGCTTTTACAGTACTGTGGAGTTTACTTAAAAGTGAAATTTGGAGGCTTAGCTCTTCAGCAGTAAAACATTTAAGCTGTGATAGCTCAGTCAGCAGAGTATGAGATTCTTAATCTCAGAGTCGTGGGTTCGAGCCCCACACTGGGCAAAATATTCCTACATAGCAGGGGGTTGGACTAGATGACCCTCATGGTCCCCTTCCAACTCCACAATTCTATCAGAGTGATAGGCTTCAGGGAGATTGCGGAGACAGCAAGGCCCCTTCCACCAGCTTCCCTGGGACCAGCCATTGTTGGCCTTACCCTACATAATGATTATGTTACCTACAATTATATTATATTGCTTTATTTTATTTTTTTAAATAAATTTTTATTCAGTTTTCTTTTTCATTCATTACATACATCCCATATCCATAACATTTTCTATTCATTCTTTCTTCCCTCCCCTCCTAGGCTTCCCCCAACTTCGTTTCTCCTTTCACCCACCTTGCTACCTCCTAAAAGAAAAGATACTAATAACACACCTGTACAATAACATCTAACCTAAAAACATAAAAACAAAAATAAGTACACCATATTATTTCTCTATCTTCTACACATTTTCTAATACTAATGATGTGAATGTTTATTTAAATCCTGCCATCAAGTCTATAGACTTTCTTTGTTTCTGCAGATATAAATATAAATGGCTCCCAATTTTTTCAAAGTCACTGTTGTCCTTTTCTCGTGGTCCATCTGTCATTTATGGTGCCTCAGGCGCTTTATGGTTTAAAATAAAGCAATATATATATTGGCAAATATTGCTTTATTTTAAACCATAAAGCACCTGAGGCACTGAAGTACATGAAAGAAAGACCCCCCTCAAAAATATATTGACAGCCCCCTGCCCTCAGGTGCCAGCAAACTGATATTGGACAGGGAAGAGAGGGGTAGTAGGATAGAGGTACAGCAACACATGGCTTGAAAATATGTGCACCTATAGAACTGCACACTGAATAGAATTAACAAGGCAGTGATATTCCCTTTGAATCCTCCAGCATGTTCTAAAGTTTTGCAAGAGACTTCAGTCAGCCTATTATGACTCTCATCAAAACATTTTTATTTATTTTTTTGCTTTGTACATTTTCTGTTTCTGTTGGAGGCATCATATACCGTGGTGCTGTTTTTATTTAATTTTTCCCCCATAGTGGAATTATTTAGTATTTATGCAGTTGAGACTGGAACAGCCAAGGAGAACAAGGGGTGAACACATCTGGGCGCCATTTCATGCAAGGCTGGGTGTGATAGACAGCAGAGCTAGACTGCAGGAGTCAGCAAACTTTTTCAGCAGGGGGCCGGTCCACTGTCCCTCCGACCTTGTGGGGGGCTGGACTATATTTTTTGGTGGGAAATGAACAAATTCCTATGCCCCACAAATAACCCAGAGATGCATTTTAAATAAAACCACACATTCTACTCATGTAAAAACACGCTGATTCCCGGACTGTCCGCAGGCCGGATTTAGAAGGTGATTGCGCCGGATCCGGCCCCCAGGTCTTAGGTTGCCTATCCATGAGCTAGAAACTCCCCTTAAAATTCCACCAGAGGGCTAGAACCTCTCTTTGATTGGCTACAAAGTCAGCCAACCACAGAAGGGTGAGGAGAAGCACTTTGGGAGGGAGAATAAAAGGAGCCGGTTCTGAGGGAGAGAGTTAGATAGGGCTAAGGTTCGGGTGAGAACTGGACCATAAAGAAGGCTGATCGCCGAAGAATTGATGCTTTTGAATTCTGGTGCTGGAGGAGACTCTTGAGAGTCCCATGGACTGCAAGAAGATCAAACCTATTCATTCTTAAGGAAATCAGCCCTGAGTGCAACTGGAAATACAGATCCTGAAGCTGAGGCTCCAAGACTTTGGCCACCTCAGGAGTAGAGAAGACTCCCTGGGAAAGACCCTGATGTTGGGAAAGATGGAGGGCACAAGGAGAAGGGGACGACAGAGGACGAGATGGTGGGACAGTGTTCTTGAAGCTACCAGTATGAGTTTGACCAAACTGTGGGAGGCAGTGGAAGACAGGAGTGCCTGGCATGCTCTGGTCCATGGGGTCAAAAAGAGTTGGACACGACTAAACGACTGAACAACAACAACAAAAGGTTCAGGTTAAGAGAACGGGCTTCATTTGAGATGTTATACAGGCTTCAGGTTGAGAGATAGGGAGTAGGATAGGATTTGACTGAAGGAGACCTGGTTCTGAGTTCAGTTAAACATCCACACTGAGGAGACAACCCATAGAAAGAGGACAGAGTCTTTAGGAAGAACTTTATGAGGGCAAGGGCTGTTAGGCAGCCGAATGGACAATCGCAGAAGGTGGAGGGCTTTCCTTCCTTGGAGGTTTTTAAGCAGAGGCTGGACGGGCATCTGCTGGGAAATTTTCAGCTGTAAATAGTGCATTTCAGGGCGTTGGAATGGGTGATACTTGGGGTCTATTATTATTGTTTCCTGATACTATTTTGCTGTGTCTGCTGAACACTCATTTTTTACCATATGCTGCTTTTGGGAGTTCCAGCCGAAAACCTCTCTCCAAACTGAGTGAGCAGGCAGTAAACTAGCAAATGCAGTTCAATGCAAATTCCATGCTGGGAACCATTAGGAAAGGAACTGAAAATAAAACTGCCAATATACCAGTCTATGGTGTAGCTGCATTTGGAATACTCTGTACACTCATCTCACAAAAGGATGCTGTAGAGCTGGAAGACCAATATGATTAAGGGGATGGAGCCCCACCAGGGCTTCTTAGCTGAGAGAGAAGGCAAGCAAGAGGCAACATGACAGAAGTTTATTTTTAAAAAATGCATGGCATGGAGAAGGTAGAGAGGAGAAGGATTTTCTCCTCTCTCACAGTGCTAGAACTTGTGGTCATCCAATGAAGTCGAATGTTGGAAGACACAGGGCAGGCAAAAAGAAAATCCTTTTTCATGCAGCATGTGGTTAAACTGTGGAACTTCCTCTCACAGCAGGCAGAGATGTCCACCAACTTGGATGGCTTTGAAAGAGGATTAGGCTAATTCATGGAGGAGGAGAGGGCTATCAAAGGCTACTAGCTACAATGCTTCTGAATACCAGTTGCTGGAAACCACAGGAGGAGAGCGCTCTTGTGCTCTGCTCCTGCTTGTGGGTTTTCCACTGGTGCATCTGTGGTTGGCCACTGTGGGAACAGGATGCTGGTGTCAGGCGTGTGTGCAGGAGCCAGGCCCTGTGACCAATAGGACTTTGCAGGTCTGGGGCCTTCCTAAGTTTGTTCTGGAGAGCCAAGGCGCGGCCACACAGGTGAGGCTGATTGGTAACTCACAGCACCTGGTGGCAAGAGCTGGGAAGGGATATAAGGTCAGCATTTCCCTTTGGCTCTTTGCCACAGCAACACGTTCCTTGCCTTGCTGCGTTTGACTCCTTGCTTCTTGATCCTCGGACCCCTGACTTTGTGACTCCTTGCTTCTTGATCCTCGGACCCCTGACTTTGTGACTCCTTGCTTCTTGATCCTCAGGCCCCTGACTTCATGACTCCTTGCTTCTTGATCCTTGGACCCCTGACTTTGTGACTCCTTGCTTCTTGATCCTCAGACCCCTGACTTCATGACTCCTTGATCCTCGGACCCCTGACTTCGCGACTCCTTGCTTCCTGACCCTCGGACCCTTGACTTCCTGACTCCTGGACTCCCGTTCCTGCTCACACTCTGCCATCTTGCCCCCGGTCCCGGCATCCCCAGCCGGGACTTTGATCGCCCGTGAACCGGACCATGACAGCTGGAGCTGATGGGCCCCTGGCCTGATCCGAGAGGCTCTTCTTATGTCCTTATCGTGCTCTGGGGGCTTCTGCTGAGAATCAGTGGTGGCTCTTTGCTCTGGCAGAACAACTGAGGGCACGTCCTCTGGAGCAGACCTGCCTGGAAGTGGGGAGAGGGGGCCAGGGAGAGAGGGTGTGTCTGCTCCATAGAATTAAATTGTCTGACTGGCACAGCGGAGTCAGATTAAGCGAGCAAAAGGTCAAACCACACGGAAGGGCTTGCAGTGACACATGGAATAAAAAGCAGCACTTCGTTTACATACTAATGTCTGACCCCAATACATTCATTTCTCTAATTTTGCAGCTTGTGACAGATCTCCCTTCAGAAGGGATCACCAGCAGAGAAAATATTAATGACTTTTAGAGGAAGGGAAAGGAAGGTTGGAGTGGGGAGAGGGAGGAATATCAATTTGAACAAAGCTTATGAAAATCCCAAAGACTGCTTATCTTTTATACATGATTACTAATTTATTAATGTCCCCCCCCCCACTCCATGTCTGCACAATATCCTCTTCAGTCTCAGTGGCCTTAATCTTTATGCTAATGCACTTCCTCCTCCACCCCCTTTCTCGGTCCCTCAGCTACATTTCCAACTGCTAATTAAAGGCTTTGAGATTTTCATGGGGGGGGGGGGGGGAGGGTGCTCGGGTAGATGCCCAAACGGCAACCGTCAAGTTCAAAGCCAAACAGAGGCTCAAGCTGCTATTGTCAGGCAGGCTCACATATATGCAGAGCACACTTAGGATATTTCATATCAGAGAAAATGGTTCTTAAACCAGACTATTGTCACTTCCCCTCAGATTAATGGCAACCAAGATTAGGTGTCTAGGGACTCGGGTGGCGCCGTGGGTTAAACCACAGAGCCTAGGATTTGCCGATCAGAAGGTCGGTGGTTCGAATCCCTGCGACAGGGTGAGCTCCCGTTGCTCGGTCCCTGCTCCTGACAACCTAGCAGTTTGAAAGCACGTCAAAGTGCAAGTAGATAAATAGGTACCACTCCGGCGGGAAGGTAAACGGCGTTTCCGTGCGCTGCTCTGGTTCGCCAGAAGCGGCTTAGTCCTGCTGGCCACATGACCCGGAAGCTGTCTGCGGACAAATGCCGGCTTCCTTGGCCAGTAAAGTGAGATGAGCACCGCAACCCGAGAGTCGTCCGCGACTGGACCTAACGGTCAGGGGTACCTTTACCTTTTTTAGGTTAGGTGTCTTATACAGTCAGATCATTGGTCAGTACTATCTGCACTGACCACCAGCAGCTCTCCAGAGTTTCAGACATGGGACAATTCCCAGTGCTGCCTGGAGACGCCAGCAGCCAAGTTAATAATACAAGAGGAGCCTGCTGGATTGGGCGAAGGGCCCCTCTGGGCCAGCATCCTGTTCTCAAAGTGGCCAGTCAGATGCCCCCATGAGAAACTGGCAAGCAGAACCTGAGCACAAGAGACAGCTCCACTCATTTGGCTTTGCTGCTTCCAAATGTAGCCATTGATAGCCTTATCCTCCTCCACAAATTTGTCCAACCCTCTTTTAAAGCTATCCAAGCTGGTGGCCATCACTGCCTCCTGCAGGAGGGAGTTCCATAGTTTAACTATGCACTACGTGAAGGTGAGGCTTTTTGCAAAGCATGGTGCTTGCGCCAACTGACCCTGTGGAGCACCTTCATGCACGGGCTCTGTAGATTGGCTTACCTGCCCACTGTCAGCCTATAGGGAAGGCTTCTGCAACCTGGTGGCCTCCATTTGTTTTGGAGTACGGTTCCCATCATCCCCAGGCCAGTGGCCATGGATAATGGGAACTGTAGTCCAAAACAGATGGTACTTGTCCATCTGGGAAGGCAGCCTATCTGGGAGCAGGAAAACTCTGACCCTAAACCTCTGCTGCCTTGTGGGATATCTTCAGAAGAAAAGGCTCAAGAGTAAACCCTACACAAATCCAGAGTGGAGTCCTTAAGATGGTTGGGTAGCACCTTGTATGCTTCCTTCCGGCAACTCCTGCAGCCAAGCTGATGCTAAGCGTGTGGCTCTGCTTTCCTCCCATCAGGACGGTAAAGAGGGGTTTTGTCACCTAGGCTGCCCAGGACCTCCACAAACTGCCCAGGCTTGTGCCCTGGGAAGGTAACTTTGGTACTGCTAAAGGAATGGTTTGACAACACCCCCAGAGGCACACTCCATTGTCTCTCAAGACAGACCAATGCCAGATCCCTGGCTTGGTTTCCAGACCCCAGATCAACTTGGTTACCCTCCTCTGCACACCTTCCAGCTTGTCAACATCCTTCCAATATTGTGGTGCCCAGAATTAGACACAGTAGTCCAGGTGTGGTCTGACAAAGGCAGAATAGTGCAGTGCTGTTTTTTTCTATTGATCTGGACACTATACTTCTGTTGGTGCAGCCTAGAATAGCATTAGCTTTTTTTGCTGCTGCCACCACACTGTTAAGTCTGTGATCCACCAAGCCCCCTAGATCCTTTTCTTATATACTGCTAGTAAGCCAGGTGTCCCCATCTTATTATTAGTGAATCTGGTTCTTCCTGCCTAAGGGGAGAACCTTACATTTGTCCCTATTGAAATTCATTTTGTTAGTTTGGGCCCAGTTCTCCAATCTGTTATAATCTTTCATTTTGAATCCCGATTCTGTCTTCTGCAGCACTAGCTACCCCTTCCAGTTCAGTGTCATCTATAAACTGGATGTGCATTCGCTCCATTCCTTCATCAAGTTACTTATTCTTTTCTACACTTTGGACTACTGTGGGCACCAGTTCACACCCTTGGACATGCATTGTGGGCCAGACACAACTCACTGCCATCTTGCAGATGGCACTCTCCAGCTGAGTGCTGTTTTGCTCCATTTGCAACATGTTTTAACAGCTATGAAGCCTTTAAAAAGTATTTGTAGCTGGCCTCTTAAAAACAACCCTAACCCCTACCTTTCATGACATATGTACACCTTTTTCTAGCTCCCTCACAAATCCGGTTAAAAAACGAGACTGCCTTTTCTACCAGGAAGCACAAGTACTCAGGAATAAAGAGAGTGCCATTTAGCAAGCTAGCAGAGATATCATGTTTGCATCCTAATGCAACTGCTAACATCAGGAACTAGCTCAAAGGACAATTTTAATAGACTTTCACAGAACTCCTGGGCTATATAAAATATCATTTAATTAACCCAGACAAATTCATATTTTTTCTTCATTTGTCCTTCCAGACCTTGGTCTGTTCCCATTCTGTGAACACATCACAGAGCTTCTCTTCCACCAAGAACTGTGGGCAAGTTACTTCTTCCGCCAAGAGAATCATAGAGTTGTAAATTTGGGAAACCCAAGCGCCATCTAGTCCAACCCCCAGCAATGCAGAAATCACAGCTAAATAAACCCTGTCAGATGGCCTCCCAACTTTTGCTTAAACACATCCAAGGAAGGAGAATGCACCACCTCTCATGGGAGTCTGTTCCACTGTCAAACAGAAAATTCTCCCTGATGTATAGTCAGAATCTAATTTGAATCCCTCCTTCCCTTTGTTGTTGTTTAGTCGTTTAGTCGTGTCCGCTTCTTCATGACCCCCTGGACCAGAGCATGACTCATGCTGGTAGCTTCGAGAACACCGTCCAACCATCTCGTCCTCTGTCGTCCCCTTCTCCTTGTGCCCTCCATCTTTCCCAACATCAGGGTCTTTTCCAGGGAGTCTTCTCTTCTCATGAGGCGGCCAAAGTCTTGGAGCCTCAGCTTCAGGATCTGTCCTTCCAGTGAGCACTCAGGGCTGATTTCCTTAAGAATGGAGAGGTTTGATCTTCTTGCAGTCCATGGGACTCTCAAGAGTCTCCTCCAGCACCATAATTCAAAAGCATCAATTCTTCAGCGATCAGCCTTCTTTATGGTCCAGCTCTCACTTCCGACACACAATCCTCTTCCCCTTAAACACCCCCGTTTTGATGCCCACCCCTTCAGCTAAGACAGCATTTCGCTTCTCTTGCAGAGAAGACTGCACTGAAGGCAAACATTTGTTGCTGATAGCCTCTATGTGCACATCAGGGAATGTTTATGCAGACCGCAGGCAGGTCACATGTGGGAAAGAGTGAGCCTCTGTGCTATTTGCTATGAGTCCCAAGAAAGTGTTTGAAGGGGCTGGTCTGATCAGGATGAGGGTCTGGGGGAGTTCTAGGAGATGCCCAATGGTGGACCTGGGGAGGGAACCCAGTAAGCTGCACCAGGACCCTGGGGGTCATCCAAGCTTTCAAGGGTGAGTCTGAGGCAGAGGAATTTGACCACTGTGATTGGCAGAACTTGCACTGTTACAGGTGCCACATAAAACCCGTTCCACATTTGTAACAACGCAAATCTTTCAGTGTGGCAGCGCCTGCACTCCCTGCCTATTGACTGCACACCGTATACTTTTTTGGTGTACATCAAGCAGCGCATAGATTTTACGAAATAAAGTAAACGAGTGCCCCCCCTCCCTGCACTTTATTGCTCCAGATGCATCCAGATTCCCACCACTCCAATTCTGCAAAAATAAAAATAAAATGCAGCCATATATAATCTATTATTTGATCAGGTTGCAGGGGAGAAAAGCACCAAGTTGTTTAAAAGACAAACCGAGTTTTTAAAATAGAATTTTAATTTTGACAAACGCTTTGGGGAATGCATGCTTACGCTGCTTTATCTCCCATACCTGGTGATTAAGTTAATTTATACTTAATGGAAGAGGGTCTTACTCTAATCTCCAGGCAGCCTCGACAGCTGCCTCTGATGAAGGTATTTCTTGGGGCCTTTAAAGCCGCTTGCAAAGTGGAGGTAATGAAAAACTGGAGAGGTTGCTAAATTCACACCTGAAGGATGCTTGTCACACAGGGGAACAGTGAGTGATGCCACTCAGGCAATAGGAAAGTCACTGTTGTCCTGGCTCTCACTTAAGAATGAAGAACTAAGCTTGGGGGGGTGTTTTCTGTCATAAAAGTGTTACGCTGAGATCAGTGTGGTAAGCACAAAAGGGTTCAAAGGCTCAGCAGCTGCCATGCTATGTATTCTGTGTTTTCTTTTTGTATTATGTTGTGAACCAGCCTGTGATGAAGGGTGGCATACAAATTTAATTAATCATCATTATCATCATCAATAGCAACACCCTAGGGGTCCCGGGCCCTAAGGAAGTTAATTAGCCTCAATCAGAGCCAGGGCCTTTTCAACTCTGGCTCCGGCCTGGTGGAGCGCTCTGTCTCATGAGACCAGGGCCCTGCGGGATCTGATTTCTTTCCGCGGGGCCTGTAAGACAGAGTTGTTCCGCCTGGCCTTTGGCTTGGAATCAGCTTGATCTCCTCCCCCTCTTCCTTTTTCCTTTCTCCTTCTGTGATTGAACTCCTATTTGGGGACTTCTCTGGCATTTTTTGGCCCATGTAGGATCAGTCTGGATAGCTGGCCTTGGTGAAGTCTTGACATTTTCATCCCCCAAAAAGTTTCTGATTTGAGTTCCTACTGAAATGAGGCTGCATTTTAATGTTGTATTTTAATCTTTTTAAGTTGTATTTCAATCAATTGTTTTTATACCTGGTGTTAGCTGCCCTGAGTCCGGTCTTGGCTGGGGAGGACAAGGTATAAATAAAATTTTATAATCATCATCACAATCATAATCCTAATAAACATCTGGTCCAACCTGCTGCAATGTTGGAATCACAGCTATAGAGTTCCGCCTCAAAGATGCTCATCCAACCTCTGCTTAAAAACCTCCAACCAAAGCTGTTTTCCAGCAACTGGTATTCAGAAACATGGCTGCCTCAAACTGTGAAGGAAGAGCACAGCCATCACGGCTAGTAAAGATAAAGGGACCCCTGACCATTAGGTCCAGTCGTGGCCGACTCTGGGGTTGCGGCGCTCATCTCACTTTACTGGCCAAGGGAGCCGGCGTACAGCTTCCGGGTCATGTGGCCAGCATGACTAAGCCGCTTCTGGCGAACCAGAGCAGCGCACAGAAACGCCGTTTACCTTCCCGCCAGAGGGGTACCTATTTATCTACTTGCACTTTGATATGCTTTTGAACTGCGAGGTTGGCAGGAGCAGGGACCGAGCAATGGGAGCTCACCCCATCACGGGGATTTGAACCGCCGACCTTCTGATCAGCAAGTCCTAGGCTCTGTGGTTTAACCCACAGTGCCACCCTCAAGCCATAGTCCAATCCTCCTTAAAGCTATCCTTGTTGGCAGCCATCATCGCCTCCCTTGGGAGCAAGACCTGCAGTTTAATGATGCCCTGAATGAAGAAGTGCTTTCCTTTCTCTGTCCTGAATCTCCCAACATTCAGATTCATGGGAAGCTTACAAGCTCTAGTCTTACGAGAGAAGGAGAAAAGCTGTTGTGCATCCGCAACAGATAAAATTGATGGAGGCAAATTCTGAGTGCTTTATCTGAGAATGAAGGGACAAGAACTCTCTGCTTAAAGAGCGGAGGTGTGGAGTGCTACCCCCACGACCGTAAGATGCTGTAGCTGACAGAAGCTGTAGCCTGAAACAGCTGGAGGGGGGCACTGGGCTTGCAAAGGTTGGATTAAATCATCCCGCCAGAAAGGTGGGAACCACAGAATTACGGACTTGGAAGGAACCCCAAGGGTTATCTAGTCCAACCCCCTGCAGTGCAGGAAGTGCCAGTATGGTGGTCTGGGCTGCTCTGCCAGGCTTTATTCTGATCAAACTATATTCAGAGAAAACAGCAACACCAGTTTCAGGGAGTGGAGCCAGGCAGAGCCAGCCTGATCACGGCACTGGGAGCCCCGAGGTAATACGGTTCATTAACTGCAAAATGTTTCTGCATATCCAAGGCTGAGAACCAAGGAATAAATTATGCTTGAAATGTAAGAGGCAGGGACAGCATTATCGCCTTAACTGTGTAAATGGGGTGGGGGGCGGGGAGGGGAAGCCTCCCCTTAATGCAGAAGAAACAGCCACTACTCATTTATTCTTCCTCCTTTGAGTGTTTCTCGCTGTGAAAAGAGATGAAGGCAGAATTTGCAGGAGAGGGCGGGATTTGCAGGAGGAGACATGGAGGCGGGGGCTTCTCCCCCTCTACACAGAATACTTTTCTAATCAAACAGGCTCCAGAGGCAAATGGAACAAGGCTGCATTCCCAGCACAAATTCTGATTCCAAGATATTCCTCTGTTGAGGCCAAGGAAGAGCCTTGCCAAAGGAAACCCAGTGCTGCTCTAATCCAGCCTCTGATTTCCAACGGCAATGAGCCAGCTACATCAAGCAGTAAAGGTAAAGGGACCCCTGACCATTAGGTCCAGTCATGGCCGACTCTGGGTTTGTGGCGCTCACCTCGCTTTATTGGCCAAGGGAGCCGGAGTACAGTCATGTGGCCAGCATGACTAAGCCGCTTCTGGCGAACCAGAGCAGCACACGGAAACTCCGTTTACCTTCCCGCCAGAGTGGTACCTATTTATCTACTTGCACTTTGATGTGCTTTCAAACTGCTAGGTTGGCAGGAGCAGGGACCGAGCAACGGGGGCTCACCCCGTTGCGGGGATTCGAACCGCCGACCTTCTGATCGGCAAGTCCTAGGTTCTGTGGTTTAACCCATAACACCACCCGCATCAAGCAGGTACATGCCGGCAAGAGCCACCATCGCTCTTTGCCTCCAAGCAATTGCTACTTAGAGGTAGATTGCTTCCGACAATGGAGGTTCTAATTCACAATCATAGCTGGGAGGCATTGATAAACCACATCTTTCCGCAGGGCCTGCAAGACAAAGCTGTTCCACCAGGCCTTTGGCCAAGGCACAGTCTGACCCCCTCTCTCCTTCTGTAGTCCCCAAAGAACTCTAGCCACCCCCCGCTACCTCTTCCCCCCTTTTCTTCCTAATGTCTCAACAAATGAAACTGATTTGTAAGAATGTTACATGGGGGGGGAATACAAGAGAGACATTGCAAACACTTTTGTAAATCAAGAAAACCTTTAATAAAAAAGAAAAAAAAAGAACTCTAGCCCAATGGTTGCCATTGGTTTGATTTTGAATTGATTTTAGAATGAATTGATTTTAGAATGCATTTCAATTGATTGACTGTGATTTTATGTGAACTGTGTTGCTTTTATTGTTGTTCCCCGCTCTGAGCCTGGCTTCGGCTGGGGAGGGCGGGATATAAATAAAGTTTTTTTATTATTATTATTTATTAAACAATTCTTTAAAAGCTGACTGAGGCACATACCAAATATCAAAGTGCACCAGAACCAGGACAGGGCAGTGGATGAGGGGAGGCTGCAGCTATCACTGCCTCCTGTGGAAGTGAGTTCCACAGTTTAACTATGCACTGCACAAAGCAGGACTTTCAGTTATCTGTCCTGAAACTTCCAACATTCAGCTTCAGATCTAGCATTGTGAAAGGAGGAGGAGCAACACTTTCTTCTGCCCAGTGTGAAGCTACAAGGAGATCCCATTTGGCCTGTGGTTCCACAACCTTGATATATGTCTCCCCACTGCCTCCAAATTTACTCAAGGAACTTCCAAACGCTCATCACAAGTCTTGTGGAATTAAAAAAAGGGAAGTGCAACATTTTTTAGTGACAGAAATGGGTGGCCAAAGAAGCTACTCTTATTATTATTCGTAAAGAAGAAGAAAAAGCCTCTCCCAATTTTTCTCTGGGCTAATTAGCACTAATAAAGCAAGACTCAAATATTTCCTTTTGACGCGACAGGGAAGCAGAATCATTAGTGCTGAAGGGAAAGAGCCTGGGAAGAAGGGGGAAGGCACTTCAAAAGCCGTTTGGAGCGTATGCAGGCAAAAGTGATACACACAGCTTCCAATTAAACACCAGGCAGGCAGGCAGAATGCCTGGTGGCAAAAAAAAAGGAAGGAAAGGGTGAAAAGCCCCCTTCCCCTCCCCCGTTTAAGCCTCAGAAATCTAACTTGAAGCATCATATTCTCCTCTGTGTACGCGCACACCAGGCACCTTCCAAATAAACCGCCAGCAATTAAATCCTACTTTTGCAACGTTTTAATTTGGTAGTTTGCTGCGCCTGCAGAGCTGGCGACTCCACCCATCGCTCACCCACCTGGCAGGAAGGAAGAGAGGTTGCAGGAGAGTGGACGGTTTCTCATTCGGAAGGGAAAACCCTGCATCTTTCCCTGGAATGGTGGGGAGTGCGATAGGAATTTTGAGGTCTTAGATATATGTTAAATGTTCATAAGTGTACCAACCAAGCACGTACATAGATCACAGGAAGACTGACCTGGAACCATTTTGATTCCCAAACTGAGCAAATGTTCTCTCTGCAAGGTCAGAGGAAAATGGAAAAGCCTCCCCATTGTCTTTTCCTTCACAAATCCTGTCTTAAGGGCACATTTAAGATATGAATAGGGTGTGAGCCTGTGACCTGGCCCAGGAACAAAGTATTTATCATTACAAAAGACTGGCCAGGCTCCCCAATCAAGTGACCACTAAACAGGTAACCTGGCAGACAGGAGGTAAACAAAGCACTCATATTTCTGCTGTAGACAGCCCTCTCTGTGATGTATGTATGATGTGTCTGGGAAGTGGTCTTGAGCTACACCCCTTCTGTGATGTATGTATGGAGGGGTGGTCTTGGACTCCAGGGTGGGCAATTTAAAATGTCTATATAAGGCCTTGCGCGCCACTGTTCTGGGCTCCTCCTCCTCTCTCCTGCGTGACCCTGTTGCAACAGATCAATAAAGATCAGGCTTACTAGCTGCTTTGCTTCTCAATATTCTCTGGTTGGCCTCTGTTATTTTCTCCTACCAATAGGGAACCTATGTAAGGACTCTGTATGGGCTTTTGGGTACCCCATAAGGGAAAAAGGGCAGATTTTGTTTACGACACAGTTGTCCAGGATGGTGACCCATCACTATATCCTGAATTCCACAGCTTACCTTCCCTACACCTTACAACATTCAGCTAGTCAGATAACCCAGAGTCCTATTATTATGCAAGGGGGAGGGGGGATCCCTATTCACTTTCTCTGCACGAGTTCTCATTCCTACAACCCTTATTGGTGATCCAAAAATAAATCACACTGCAGCTCCTGACAGATCTGGAAGCACTTTCAGAGAGAATTGAGATGCATGGTGCAATGGGGGGGGGGAGATCAAAGCAGGGCATTATTAACTCAATGTAAAAGATAAACATCGCTAGGGAACAATATGCAGCTTCTATAAAGGGCATCAGAATGTTTCTCTGAGCCATTAATTTCTCACGACTGTGAAAAGCTTTAGGGGTGGTATCTTTAAAGTCCTTACTTTCATTCTGATGCTTCATTTGTTTTAATTGAGGAGGCAATTAGTGGCAAATCAAATCTATCCACACACAGATAGCTTCACCAACTGGATAGTGGCATATCAACTGCCTACAATGTCAACACAGGCCACAGGACTTTATTAGATCAAGGAAAACAGAATCTAAAACCCGTATCTATTCCCCAGAAGAGAAAAATCAGTTGGAGGGCAGGGGCAGGGCGGGAGATTTTGGTCAAAGAAACAGTACAAAGGGATTTTTTGCTGGAAGTGTTGAGATGCAACTCATCTTGTCCTGGGGAAGATCGAGAGAGGAACCTCCAAGTTTGCTAGACTGTCCTTTCTGACCTAACCTGTACTCACCTTCCCTGCAACGGTGGCTTTTATCCGTCTCTCACCACAGTGGAACTCGTGGACCACCAATGAAAGTGAGTGCTGGAATATTCAGCACAGATAAAAGGAAGGAAGTACCTCGTACCTATGGGACCACCTCTCCTGGTATGTCCCACGGAGGACCTTACGGTCTTCAAACAAAAACATCTTGGAGGTCCCGGGCCACAGGGAGGTTAGGCTGGCCTCAACCAGAGCCACGGCTTTTTCGGCCATAGCCCCGATCTGGTGGAACGCTCTGTCCCAAGAGACTAGGGCCCTGCAGGACTTGACATCTTTCCGCAGGGCCTGCAAGACAGAGCTGTTCCACCAGGCCTTTGGCCAAGGCTCAGTCTGACCCCCTCCTTTGGTAATCCTCATAGAACTCTAGCCCAATGGCTGCCTTTAATTTGATTCTGAATTGATTTTATAATGAATTGATTTTAGAATGCTGTGTTACTTTTATTGTTGTTAGCCGCTCTGAGCCCGGCTTCGGCTGGGGAGGGCGGGATATAAATAAATAATAATAATAATAATTATTATTATTATTATTCTCGCAGAGCATAGTAAACCTGTGGAACTCACTCCAACAGGAGGCAGTGGTGGACACCAAAATGGATGGCTTCAAATGCGGAGTAGACAAATGCCTGGAGAAGGCTGTCAATGACTACATTCCATCTTCAAAAGTCAGAGGCAGGAAAGCTACCAGATACCAGCTGCTGGAAGCCACCTGGGTGGGGTGCCGAGTAATCCTGTGGCTCATGCCATGCCTGCTGTGTACTTCCCAGAAAATGCATCTGGTTGACCACTGAGAGAACAAGGGGCTGGACTAGACGGGCCACTGGCCTGATCCAGCAGCCTCTGCCTATGTCCTTTAAAAAAAAATACTTTTTATTGAGTTTTCTTTAACACAAACAAAACAAAATAAATACACTAAATGTTCTACAATCCTATGTACACTTATTTTCTCAACACTGTCGAGCACAGACTTCCCTCCTTCCCTTCAGAGGTTTTCATATTAATCTTTCATTTTTCACAGATTCTTAACACCATCCTGTTCAGATCATAAGGTTTATTTTAATCCTACTACAGCCTTTAAACTTCTGCAATTATTACGTATATACTCCAGAAATTTACTCCACTCATTTCTGAACTTTGTTTCCCCTTGGTTACGGATTCTGTGGGTCAGTTTTGCTAATTCCACATATTCAACCATTTTTGTCTGCCACTCCATTAATGTTGGTATTTCCTGAGTTTTCCATTTTTGGGCTACTAAGATTCTGGCAGCAGCTGTAGCGTACATGAATAATCTCTGATCTGCTTTTCTTATTTCATCTCCTCTCATCCCCAGCAAAAAGGCTTCTGGGGTTTTTGGGTAGGGGAAGTATATTTGAACAGTTTTTTCAATTCGTTGTAAATCATATCCCAATTTTTTTTCCCATTTTCTCACAAGCCTCTGCTTATGTCCTTAACACTAAGGAGGACAGAGGGGAGCAGCTCTTGAACTCATGCCCTGCTTGTGGGCTTCCCAAGAGGCATCTGGCTGGGCATGGTGGGAGATGAGACGCTAGACTTTGATCCTGCAGGGCTCTTCATACGTGTGTTTGATACTGGGGGGCAAGCTGCAGAGGGCTTTGCTCCACCAGCATGAAACATACACAGTAATTGGCCTGCAACCAATTTGTTTTAGCAGGGCACCCAGAAAGAGAGATGCTTCTCTTGGCAGCTATTTCTGGAAGGATGACATTTCACTTTGTATGGTCTGTTGAGTTCTACCCAAGACTGTTTCGTGCCTGCTCACCTCTGAATTGCGGAGGATTTCACAAGGGCTGCCTGAGTTTATTCCCCACCCCCCTGCCCCAAGCAAGGGAGTAATGTCTACATGCAATTTTCACACATTTTAGCCAGGATGAGAGGAGCAATTCCTCACCAGCCTGCCGTCAGGCCTTCAAACTGAATGGGTATGCAAATCTGTTGATGTGCGGGATTTCAAGAGTCAAAAATATGTAGAACAGAAAGTGCAAATTACTAAAGACTCTTGGTTCTAATATTAGCTGGAGCGAGTATAATGAAAATGTAGCATGGGTGGAAGGAGAGGCAAGGAAGGAGGGGAGCAGGACCGCAAAACAATCTCTACAGCAAAACTGATGCTTTTAAAAAAAAAATCATCTAAAGAGCTGGCCATTTGCAGCCCTTTAATGTAAGTTTGGTTTTCAATTTTCAAGAATTTACAGATACACATCTTACCATCTCGTATTTCCATTACAAATACATATCAGATTTCCCTACCCCACTTTTATGGCTTCTTCTCTTATTTAAATTTTTAACCATGCATTTTCCACTTTAATCCATTTCTGAATTATTCTACAATTAATCTTGAGAATACTTTCAACTGCTTGATTTAAGTTGGCCCTGCCAATGCACTTAGTTGCATACCATGATTTTTCACATATTCCACAAATATTCTCCACTCCTTAATATTTTTTCTCTCCTCTTGGTTTCTTTGCACTCGTTAATTTTGCCATTTCAGTAAAATCCATCAATTTAATCAGGCACTCTTCCTTGGCTGGAGTAGCTTCCTCTTTCCATCTCTGGGCAAATACCATTTGGGCTATGGTTGTAGCATTCATAAACAAATTTCTAAGCTTCTTCAGAATTTAAAATGTGGGGGTTTTTTGGGGGGGTTATTGGGTTGTTGTTTTTATTTTGATTATATATTTTGTGGTTTTATGTTTTGATTTTGTTCCGTGAACCTCCCTGAGACCTCTGGGTATAGGGCAGTATAAAAATTCAATTTTTGTTGTTGCTGTTGTTTCTTTACTCACTATCCTTAAAAGAAATGTTTCTAGTTTTTTTTACTAAAAGTTATTTTAAACACTTTCTTCCATTCATTATAAACAATTTATCAGAAAGCTTTTGTTCTCTTACAGGACCACCACATATGGTAGAAATTACCTTCCTTTTCTTTACATTTCCAGAACAAATTTGATTTTGATTTATACATCTTAGCATGTCTGCTTGGAGATAAATACCACCTGTACATCCTTTTCAAATAAATTTCTTTCGGTGTATAACATGCTGTGAATTTCAAACCAACATTCCATACCTTCTCCCATGCAGCCATTTCAATATTGCGACCAAAGGAAGGCTGCTGCTGTGGCAGATAAGGGTTCATCCTGCCAAACATTTCAATGGAGGGCTGCAGAAGGAACCATCCCCTTTGCCTATCCCTTTTCTCCCAAGCAACAGCACAACTGTACATTCTGAAATGCAGGTGCTGCTGCTATTATTATTATTATTATTCATTGTTAGTCGCTGTATCTTGCCCAAAACAACTTGCAAAAACAACCCCACATAGATATATTAAGACCAAGGCAGGCAGAGAGAGAGAAAAAAATGCATTTAAAACATCCCACCCACTTCTAAAGGCCAGAGATAGTTAAAGGCCAAAGACCTGGTTATAGAGCTGTTTCTTCCTGGCACCTCAAGGTATGTAGTGAAGGCTCCAGGCAAGCCTCGCTGGGGCGGGAAATTCCACAAACATGGAGCCACCCCGGAAAAGGCCCCTTCTCATGTTGCCACCCTCTGGACCTCTCATGGAAGAAGCACACAAAGGTAGTCCTTGAGGTATTGCAGTCCTGAGCTGTTTAAGGTTTTATGGGTCAAAAACCAGCACTTTGAATTGGGCCCAAAAACTGTCAGCCAGTGCAGTTGGGGCAGGATTGGTGTAATATGCTCAAACCACCTTGCACCAGTGAGCAACCTGGCTGCTGCGTTTAAGACCAATTGAAGCCCCACGTAAAGCTGACGGCAATAATACTTATAGTAGCTTTGTATGTATCACAGCTGTCAACTTACAGATTTGAAAATAAGGGACCAGCAGCCTCGAAAATAAGGGACCAGCAGCCTCGAAAATAAGGGATTTTCAGAGCACAGGTATGTTCAACTTCTGAGCCCCTCCCAGCCAAAGGCAGAAAGCCCAGCCAGCAGCCAAACGAAGCCTCAAGCGGTGGTTCCCACAGCGCAGCAACCCGGCAAAGGGGATGCAGCAAGGAAAACCACCGTCACCTCTCCGCTGGGAAGCGCTGAGCAAAGGCGAGTCCCCAGGCAACGCGGCCAATTTGATCAGCACAAGGCATGCAAGCTCCACCCCCCAGTCGTTCTTAGACTCCTTATTGGGTGAGCAACGCAGCCAAGCAACAGAGTTGGAGCCTCCCTCCTCCCTGACAGGGAGGGAGGGAGAGGAGCTGCTTCCTTTGAAACTCAGGAAATTTAAGGGACATCATCAATAAGGGACAGCAGCGGGACACTGCGCTGGGATAAGGGACTTTCCCGCCAAATAAGGAACGGTTGACAGCTATGGTATGTATGTCACACCTTAGGGGACACTAGCATGGAGGAAGGGGGCAACAGAATTGGAGGTGTCTGCAGACTCCCAATGAATTTCACGTTTCCATTAAAAATAATGTTACTTGCCATTAGGATTGCAGAGATATGCTTGAAAGTCATTGTGCAAGGCCTGCTAAAATCAGAACTGGGATGTATTATGCAAAGCAGCAAAGGTTACAGAGAAGGTCATTGGTGCAGGTTGCAGAATCCGGCTGCTCTTGATGCAGAATTTTGACTGCCTAGTCACTGAACTCTAATATGAGAAAGCAACTCCCTTCTGCGAATAACAGACATACATCTGATAATGGACATGAAATCAATACACACTTACAATGTCTTTTCCTTCCTTTTCTTGCGTGGGTCCACTAACCGCAGGGTGTCCCGGATGACAGAGACTTTGACTGCCTCATCGACAGGGCTTCGGATGTACTCAATGACTCCCGGAGAAACCTTGGATTCAAATAGTGTACACTGATGAATGACAAAATTCTCCCTATATTGGGTATGGGGAACCTGTGGATTCCCACATGCTCTTGGACTACAACTTCCTTCATCCCTGACCATGAAGCTGGCTGATGGGAACTGGAGTCCAATAGCTTCTGGTGGGCCAAAGTTTCCCCAGCCCTGGTCTACAGTGTTGCTTTGCTCCCAGCCTACAAAAACAAACACACAACAGAGGCGCACTCACTGCTCTGTATTAGACATCCTTAGGCTACTTCCGTGCTGGGAACAGGCATGCTTTGTTCATACACTTTTATGGAGCTTCTGCACAACTGTGAGCAAAAGCTGCTTGTCTCTTATTTCTCCTGTTCAACTTCGTGTGTGTGTTTGTGTGTGTGGTGCTTTGCAGAGCCCAGAAAAATCCAACCTTTTATGCAATAGGTGAATAATTTCCCTGGGTGTAGCTGATCCATTGTACTAGATCTATTCAACCACTTTCCTGGCTGGTTATAGCCTGTATAGATTGCACTCTAGCCATTTTCTTCCTTGCCTGGAGAGAAGTTGGCGGGCTGGGGCAGGCAGTACAATATGATTGCATTTAACTTGTGTGAATTCAACCATATGCAGTTGAAGGCCGGCCGGCTGGCTGAAATTCTGCAAGCAAGGCAGTGAGCTTCAAAGTTATTTTCACGCTGGGTTTCCCGGGCACCAAAAGAGATTTCAAGCTCTCTGCCTTGCTGGCAAGACAAGGCCCAGTTCTGGGATACTCTTGCAAGATCTCGCAGAGCCACTTGAGATCTCGCTCAAGCATCGCTAGCTATCCAGAGCCAGCACACGGAGCTGTTTGCATTTAACATGTGGGATTTCATCCAGCAGACCTTGAACCACTTCAAAATGATACAAAGTTAGCAGGAATCCCAACATTAACAGTAGTAAATCCTCAAAGGCTCTATATTCTGATCAATATAGCTGCACACCAGTGTCCCAATGAGTTTACAATTTATTTATTTTTTAAAAAAGGATGATGGGGAAGGAAGACAGAAGCAAAAGCCATAGAGGAATTTATATTCTCTTATATGCTCTTACCTCTCTTACTGCAAATGGTTTTGAAATTTTATTTTATGGCATGGTTTTATGATGAATCGCTCCATTGGTTGTACGGCAGCGCAGGAATATTTAAAATCAACAAAATGCCAGATCTTCCATGATGAAGTTCCTAACGCAGCTTACAAACATTTTTTTAAAAAAGAATCACCACCCCACACACAATGCAATGCCATAAAGCGTTCAAAAATGGGAATTAAAAAACCTGCAAACATCAAAGGTGCATTTAAAAGGCCTGGGAGAATTAAACGAATGAAAGAAACCCTCTTCAATTGCTACTGAGAAGACTGAGAGGTGATACATAGCCATCATAAAATATCTGAAGGGCTTTCACAGTGCCACATGGAAGATAGAGACAGCTTGTTTTCTCCTGCTCCAGAAGGGAGGACCAAATCATGGGTCCCAATTACAAATTACATGGGTCCAACTAAATATTAAGAAGAATTTTCTGATGGAAAGAACAGACTACCTCAGAAGCTGATGGACTCTACTTCACAGGAGGCTTTGAAACAGACGTTGGTTAGCTATCCTTGGTTGGCCACTTTCAACTCTACAATTCTATCCATTGCATGAAGACAACAACTTGGGAGACCCCAGGTGAATCTCCCCTGTGTGAGAATTCCAGAAAGGTCTTCCCTAAGTGTGGGTGCAGTTCTGCATAGTAAAGGCTTCACTTACAAGTTGTGGTTCAGAACCTATGAGTCCAAATCAGGTGGGATAGAGATCTGTAAACCAGATCCCTCCCCCAACCTCTCTAAGTTACCATTTAAAAGCAGCTGCGGGGAGCAAACTGGATTGGGACCACAGCACCCCCTTCTCAGGGCAAATCCTCCCACCCCCTGTTCCAAACAGAAACCCAAAAGAGATCAGGTTGCAAATTTCCAAGTCCTTATCTTTCCTGTTAGGAGAAACCATCCAACTGAACCCACCTTCCCCCGTCCCATCTCCCCTCCAACATCACATGACTGCTTTGAAGAGAAGAGGCAGAAAATCCAGCTGCAGATCTGCAACATCTGGTCTGGAGTTTAGCCCTTAGGGTCAAGCCCAAAGCTACCTGGAAGGAGAGGAGGTGCATTTTTTGACTTTTAAAGCCCTATGCGGCCTAGGACCCTCGTACCTATGGGACTGCCTCTACTGGTATGCCCTGAGGAGGACCATAAGGTCCATAAATAACAACACTTTGGGGGTCCTCAAGGAGATTAGATTGGTCTCAACTAGGGCCACAGCCTTTTCGGCACTGGCCCCCACTTGGTGGAACGCTCTCCCACAAGAGACCAGGGCCCTGTGGAATTTGACATCTTTCCGCAGGGCCTGCAAGATGGAGCTGTTCCACCTGGCCTTCGGCTTGGACTCACTTTGACCCCTTATATGGGATTTGGTATATGGCTCATGTGCTCAATACATCGATTCCATAAAACATATTTTGCTGCACTGTGCAAAATATGAGCAAGCCAGGGCTGAACTGATATTACCCTGGTACCTTTCACGGGAAAATCAGAGGCTCACTATGCCAGGTTCCTATTGGAAGACCGGACAAACGCTAGAAAATTAGCAGTGGCAAAGTTTTTATCGGTGATTGCAAGAACCAATGATCCCTATCTTTTGAACAAAATGCTTAACCTGGATGTAGGCTGTATGAATTGTGCATTGCTTTGTAACGATTTGTGGGTCTCTGGACCGTAATAAAGATTGATTGATTGATTGATTGATTGATTGATTGATTGATTTGGTATATAAATTTTCCCTTGGCTTTTTTGCTGGCCCATGTTGGACCAGCATAGATAGCTGGCTTGGGTGAATATCTGATATCTCTTCCCTTTATGGTCTTGATTTATGAGCTACTACTAAAATGAGGTTGCATTTTAAGCCGTATTTTAAGCTGTATTTTAATTGTTTTTTCCCCTTTTTTCTTCTATTACGTTTTATTGTAATTTATATTCAGTGTTAGCCGCTCTGAGACCAGCCCTGGCCGGGGAGGGCGGGGTATAAATAAATTTTATTATTATTGTTATCATACTTACAGGACCGCCTCTCCTGGTATGCCCTGTGGAGGACCTTAAGGTCCATAAACAGCAACACCCTAGGGGTCCCAGGCCCTAAGGAAGTCAGATTAGCCTCAACCAGAGCCAGGGCCTTTTCAACACTGGCCCCAGCCTGGTGGAACGCTCTGTCTCATGGGACCAGGGCCCTGCAGGATCTGATTTCTTTCCGCGGGGCCTGTAAGACAGAGTTGTTCTGCCTGGCCTTTGGCATGGAGTCAATTTGATCCTCTCCCCCTCTTCCTTTTTCCTTTATCCTTCTGTGATGGAACCCCTATTTGGGGACTTCCCTGGCTTTTTTCTGGCCCACGTAGGACCAGTCTGGATAGTTGGCCTTGGTGAAGATTTGATGTTTTCATCCCCCAAAAGTTGTTGATTTGAGTTTCTACTGAAATGAGGCTGCATTTTAATGTTGTACTTAATCTTGTTTTTAAGTTGTATTTTAATCAATTGTTTTTAACCTGGTGTTAGCCGCCCTGAGCCCGATCTTGGCTGGGGAGGGTGGGGTATAAACAATAAATTATTATTAATTATTATTATTATTATTATTATTATTTTGAGGAAGGAAGCGAGGTGGCACCCTGAGGGGAGGCAGGAGCTGTTGAAGTCCACAGCCAGCTTCTGCCTTTCAGAGAAAAGTCTCTAAAGTAGCCTGGCTGCGGCTGAAGGAAAAGACTCACCTCTTTCTCATGTTCAGTTCTCATGCTGGGGTTAGCATTGACTTCCATCAATATCGGCTTCAGGTTCTTCATCAGAAGAATGTCAAACCCTAAAATCTTGAGACAAGAGACAACAGCTTTTTAAAAATATATATATATATATACATTTCCAAACTCCCCTATGCTGGATATTAAGCATTTTCAGAACCAGCCCTACAGTTAATCTCTAAACGGAATCCTTGCCTCTGCTGGATAAAATGGCTGCATTCACACATCACACGTAATTAATAATGGTTTCCCCTGAATGGGCAGGTGGTTCCTGCCTCAATCGTCTCTTAGCATGAGCAACAAACCGTGATGGTTTGTGGCTTAGCATTAAGTCCAAAGTGGAAGGTGTTGGGAGCCTAAAAACAGCAAGACAGCGCCAGCTGAGGAAGTTCTGGCATAATGTAAAGAAATACTCTAATGTGGTTAATTATCAGAATTGCACCATTTAAAGAATATATATATATATATATATATATATATATATATATATATATATATATATATCGGGTAGTATCAATGGAAAGCAGTAAGTGGGGTTAAGATTATTTTTGTAATATATTTTAGTAAAAAGCTTTCTTCCTACATTTTGTTAAATAAATAAATAAATGAAATAAGATAGCTGTATTTATTTATTTAATTTGTACACTGCCCGTCATCTGAAGATCTCCGGCAGTTCACAGCATAAAATTACAAGATAAAACACAAAACACATAACAAAAAGAACAAATGATACAATATAGGATGTCAATCAGCCCAATGCATGGTTGAAAAGGAACGTTTTCACCTGGAACCTAAAAGCGTATAATGAAGCCGCCAGGCGAGCCTTACTGGGGAGAGCATTCCACAAACAGAGAATGGTACATGTTTTTGGAATATTTATGGAGATGTCTATGATTCTACAATTATATATTGTAACTATAGCACATCTTGATGTACTTTGATATATTCTTATCTTTTGCATATGATTTGTTTCTGTAGTTCTTAGTTTCATGGTTTAGAGATTTATTTAATTACGTCACTTAAAGTGGAATTATTCCTATGGTTGGCAGTAGGAGATGTAGTATTGCTTGATTTGAATGCGGATGGTATTATATGTCTTGTATTGACTCCTTTGTAAAGGGATTTTTAGACCACTTAAGTTTTCTGCTGAAATGTGAAGTGGCATATAAATTTAAATGAATGAAATGAAACTTGGTTTGGCCATTGAATCAGCCTTTTTGATACACTCGCTGATTAAACTGCCGATTTACGCTACCTGGGGTTGTTTCTTCATTTTCAAACTTGACAAGATATAAAGCTAACACAGAGACAAGATGTGAGTGCTCAGTCAATTGCCCTGATTCAAATCAATCCACCCAGGGCACGCTTTTAATAAAATAAGAACAAAAGAAGAATTTGCTGGATCAGGCCAAACGAGGACCATCTAGTCCAGAATCCTGTTATAATATTATAATAAATAATAATAATAATAATAATAATAATAATAATAATAATAATTTATTATTTATACCCCGCCCATCTGGCTGGCTTTCCCCAGCCACTTTGGGCAGCTTCCAACCGAATATTAAAAACAATACAGCATCAAACATTAAAAACTTCCCTAAACTTCCCTTCCAAGACCACATAACACCGGTCTTGAAACACCTACATTGGCTTCAAGTACGTTTCCGAGCACACTTCAAAGTGTTGGTGTTGACCTTTAAAGCACTAAACGGCCTCGGTCCTGTATACCTGAAGGAGCGTCTCCACCCCCATCATTCTGCCCGGACACTGAGGTCCAGCTCTGAGGGCCTTCTGCCGGTTCCCTCACTGTGAGAAGCGAAGTTACAGGAACCAGGCAGAGGGCCTTCTCGGTAGTGGCGCCCGCCCTGTGGAATGCCCTCCCACCAGATGTCAAAGAGAACAACAACTACCTGACATTTAGAAGACATCTGAAGGCAGCCCTGTTCAGGAAAGTTTTTAATGTGTGACATTTTAATGTATTTTTAATCCTTGTTGGAAGCCGCCCAGATGGGCAGGTTACAAATAAATAATAATAATAATAATAATATTAATATTAAAAAAACAGGGCCGCCTTCAGTTGTCTTTTAAAAGTAAAATAGTTGCTTATTGCCTTGACATCTGCTGGGAGGGCGTTCCACAGGGCAGGCGCCACCACCAAGAAGGCTCTCTGCCTGGTTCCCCTGGGAAACAGCTTTGACTGGCTGGCTACACCAGGTGAGGGTAGCTGATGGGTCTCAAACTCACAGTAACCACCCAGATGCCCATTATGGGAAGCTGATAAGCAGGTGCAGAGTACAAGAGCTCCCCTTTCCTTCCTACAGTTTCCAGCAACCGGTCTTTCTTCAGAAGCATTATTGCTGCTGACCATGGAGGGAGAGCAGAGCCATGGCTAGCAGCTATTGATAACCTTGTCTCCTCCATGAATTCATCCAATCCTCTTTTAAAGCCATCCAAATTGGTGACCATCACAGCCTCTTGCGGGAGCAAGGACCATACTTTAACTATGCACTGCACTGAAGAAGTACTTTATTCTATCTGTCCTGAATCTTCCAACAAAACCATCAAGACCACAGAAGTTCTCACAGACACTCCCAGAGCCTTGTGAAAACATGGCAATGTAGGCATCCCTGTTTGACCTGACTTTTACAGAAAAGGAGCGGCACTAATGTCATCGTATCTGGATAAACTTCTCCTGGGTGGATGAGTTCTTACTAGTTACCCACCCCAATTACGGGCTGTCCCGTGAATCCGCTGGATGAAATAGCGGAAGAACGTCGCCTCAGGAGATTGAGGAAAATTCTCAGGGATGATTCACACCCTGGCTGGCACTTTCTTGATCTCCTGCCCTGGGGCAGAAGATATAGAAGCATGATTAGTCGCGCCAACAGGATAAAGAACAGCTTCTATCCATGGGCTGTTAGGTTGCTGAATGAAAAGATAACAATATATGAGATAGACTCGTGACATGCAAAGCAAGATAGGTCAAGCCTTTCTTTGTTATCATTGCGATGATCACGGCGTACAGAGGATGAAAACCCCAAATTAACCATCTCAGAAAATTAGAATATTCAAGGAAATCAGTAAAACAAGGATTGCAAATCGAGCAAGATTGGACCTCTGAGAAGTAGAAGCACATCTCGCTTTGCATGTCATGAGTCGATCTCATATATTAGTTTCACCTTTTAAGTTGAATTACTGAAATAAAGGGACTTTTCCACGATATTCTAATTTTTCGAGTTTCACCTGTATCTGCAGAGCTCATATAAGAGCACCCCACCCGTTCTGCCCTTTCCGTGACGTGTTAAGTGACAAATCTGTGTCACTTCTGGGTTTGGCACTGGGTGTGGTCGCACATCTTTCGGACGCACGTTAATCGGTCGTAGCCTATAGTGTCCCACCATAGATGCTAAAAGCAAGGTTTGCTATGGTTACAACAAGGTGGTTTCCTGGTGGAAGGAGAAGCTAAGGAGCAGGGGGGGGGAGAGAGAGAGATTGCTCAGAGACGGGTTCCACAGTACAGTATGTTGACTGCAGATTTTGAGACACTAATTGGCAAATGGTTACTGTGGCAGCTCCTCTTGGCTTTAATGACACAGCCTGCTCAGATAATCACAGCTGTCTTCTGGTCAGGATGGCATGAACTGCAATTTTGCAAAGGTCAGGAGGAGATACTGAGATTTCTGCTCATTCTGACCCTCACTGGCAAAAACAAGTAGAAGAAAACAGAAGAGAAAATGAATATATTTTCTGATTTAAGCAAGCCGGGCGAGGGAGGGAGTCAGAAGACTACAGCCTTGTGTCTGGAGGAAGAGTCTCTTGATGACCTTGGCGTGGATTTCCACAATTTGGAAACAAGGAGCCCAGCCCAAGCCTGCTGGTGGCCTTTACCCACTGCTGTTCCCTTGTGTCTGCAAACTGGAGAAGTACCAGGCTGAGTTCAAAGTATTAATGCTGACATATAACCCCCTATACAGCTCAGGGCCAAATTACTTGCCTTATCCCTTATACACCCAAGAGATCATTGCAGCCTGCAGTAAAGTCTCTCCTGCAAGTTCCAAAGATCTCAAGAACTCTCCCTGCAGTAACCTGGAGCAGCACTTTTTAGTGGGGCTGCCCCTGTCCTGTGGAATGGTGAGTTCCTGTCGAGATATTATTGTTATTTCATTCATTCATTTAGTCACTTTTATCTTGCCCAAGGCAACCCAAAACAACTTACAACCAAACATACAACAGACAAGCACTATCTGAACCTTCTTAAAAACATTTTTGTTCCAATAGGCTGTACCAGCTGGATAAATGGTTCTTTACCACGGATATCCACCTGCTGGGGTTTCAAATGTATATGTTGTTCTTTTAACTCTTTTTAATGATCTTATGTGCGGATCACCTTGAGACAGCTCTGGTGGCTGTTAAAGGTAAAGGTAAAGGGACCCCTGACCCTTAGGTCCAGTCGTGGCCGACTCTGGGGTTGCGGCGCTCATCTCGCTTTATTGGCCGAGGGAGCCGGCGTACAGCTTCTGGGTCATGTGGCCAGCAGGACTAAGCCGCTTCTGGAGAACCAGAGCAGCGCATGCCGTTTACCTTCCCGCCGGAGTGGTACCTATTTATCTACTTGCACTTTGACGTGCTTTCGAACTGCTAGGTTGGCAGGAGCAGGGACCGAGCAACAGGAGCTCACTCCGTCGCGGGGATTCGAACCGCTGACCTTCTGATCGGCAAGCCCTAGGCTCTGTGGTTTAACCCACAGCGCCACCCGCATCCCCAGACAGCAGCTTAGAAAGCGATTAATAAATCGAACTGCAATATTAACAGTAAAAACAGGGTAGTTAAAAGAGTGTGGGATGGAGTCCCAACTCTGAATCTTGTCTCAAGCACACCGGGGGGGGGGGCTGCAGCTGAGAAGTGGTGGACATATGGCAGCTGCAAGATCTTCCCCAATAACTTTTCCTGGTCCTAGTTGTCCTCACATGCCTTCCAGCCATGGCACTTCTCCAATGGGAATCTGGGCAACTGTGGTGAGGGATGCAGCTGCCAGCAAGGTCTGTTTGATCCTGTTGTCACCACCAGATGTTTCATGCTACAACCAGTCCTCGTCAGCGCTGTGCATCTGGAGGGCACCATGCTCAGGGAGGCTGATCTGAGCCATTTAGATCACAGGTAGGCAACCTGTGGCTCAGAGGCAACACACGCGGTCCAGTCCCATCAGAGTCTCATCCTCTTATTTCTCCTGGTATTTTAAAGTGTGGAAACCAACTGGCCACCTTCTGCCTGCACATGTATATGCATGCATGCACAAAAGAGAGATGGATTGGACTTCCGGCGAGGCAGCATGGCGGCTGCAACAGCAGAAAAGAGCTCCTGAAGCCAGCCAGAGTAAAAGGCTCTGTCTGGCCGACTCCTGGGCTCCCAGGACTGCTGCCGCCAGCACCGCCAGCGGAGAGGAATCGGGGTGCCCGGGAGCCTATCAAAGGAGCCAAAACACCCCCCGACAGAGATTGAGCCGGAAAGACACCCGACCACCCCCCCCAACAGCCGAGAGGAGCTCCAAAACCAGGAGGACAGTGGAGCTAACGCAGAGAGGGAGAAAAGAAAAGGGGAAAGAAGAAGAAAAAGAAAGAAAGAAAAAGGAGCCCCAAACTTACCGCTGCTGCCCCCATCTCTGCTGACAAGAAAGCAGAGGAGAGGTAGGTGAGCACGGGAAGGCAAAAGAGGCTCAGGAAAAAACACGTGGCTGAGCCCCACCGGGAGCTCCAGCAGCAAGAAAAAAAACACAGAGAAGCTGCATAACAAAGGGGATTTCCCCCCCCTTTCTTTCTTCTCTTTCCCTTTTTTTTTTTTAACCCCCCTTTGTTTTTAACCCCTTCATCCCATCCCTCCCCCATTTAAAATATATATATATATATCTTTTTATCCCTCCCCCATATACCTACTTTTATCACTTTTCTTTTTAAAAGAGGGGCCACTGCTGCTGCAGCCACCCTTTATTTGAATCTTTATTTTTATTGCTATCTTTTCTACACACTATTTAAAGACACACTTTTCCACACACACACTCTGAATTCAAACCTCATTTTATTTCCACCTCAAACTCCCCTCTTAAGAACTAAAATGGCAGTACCCAGGAAACAGCCCTGAACCATCACAGGCCATTTCCTGGGACTGCCACTTCGCCCCAGACTTTCCACTCTCTTTTACCTATCCTCTTTTACCTATACTTTACTCATTTTTAAAATAAAATAAAATAAAAAGCTCTATCTATCTATCTATCTAAAGACACCCCCACCTTTTTTTTTTAACCTTTAACTCTCATTTTTATATTTTACCCGTACATTTTTAATTACTTTTTTACAAACAAAAAATAATAACAATAATTAGGGAAAATATTATTATTATTATTATTTTTTAAAAAAAAGAACAAAAAAATCCCAAAACCATCCAATTATTGTGTTTTCTCCCCTCGTTGTGTGTTTTAAAGCCCTTTCTTTTCTATTTGTTGGCTTGTTCTTGAGGGGGGAATCTTTCGCCCCCAGCTACGACCACCACTCTCTTTTAAAACAAAAACTTCCTCCATATCACTGCTATTGCTATTGATACTCTCCCCTCAACTCCCCTCCTTTTTATTTTTCTCTCCCTTTTTTCTCTCCCCTCTCTCTCTTCACCCCTCCTCATTTTTTCCTTTTATCCCACCTTTCATTTCCCATCCCCAATTTTGTTCTCTATCCCTTTAATTTTTTTTTAAATCAACCCCCCCTTTTTAGCCTGTTCATCAGTTTGTTTTTGAGAGGGGAGCCCTTTGCCCCACACCCCCTATTTTACAATTAGACTTTCCCACATACCATTGCAGCAGCTCACCCTCCCTCCCTCCCCTCTCCCCTCTCTTTTCTTCTCCTTCCTTTTCCCACCCTTCCCCCTCCTCCTCTCCTTTCTCTCCCGCCTCCCGCTCTCCATCCCCCTTCCCCTAAAGGAAACACATACACACATTCATATCACCCTATCACAATTTGCCCCCCTCATACTATAGCTAAAACTACTGCTGCATTCTAATACCGCTGATATTACTGTACTATCTCTCCCCGCTCTTTCAACTCTCTTTTTGTCCCTCTCTCTCTCTTCTCTTTACTCCAATCTCCCCCCTCCCCCCCGCCTCCCCCCTTCTTCTTTCTTTCTTCTTCTTCTTCCCTTTTTTCTCCCTCCACCCTTTACATATAGCCTATTTGTCTGTCTCTGTTTCTGAGCGCACTCCCAACCCCAACTTCCACCTTAACTGGACCCCAATACCCCTTCTGGGCATATACAACCCCCTCCTAAACACATATTTCCCCTGACCCCACCCCTCTAATCTCTTGCATCTCTACCTGCTAACCCCCTCCCTTTATATGAACTGTCTGTCCGTTAATCTACCCATCTCTGCTTACCTGCCCCCCCCCACCTCGGCGGCACCGCTGAGGCATCCACAAAAGCCCTAGAGAAGTTCTTAAAACACAGGCTAGAAGTGACACAAATGACCACCTAATCCAAACGCTCTGTAGAAGCCACCAGCCAACAAAGCCTGATCAGCTCAGCAACCCAACAATACCCAGGAATCACCACTGCCACAACTCCTAACCACCACACGCCCTACCCCAAGAGGACGCCAAGCCAACCTCAAACCAAAACCATCAGGGAGACCGAGATGACACCAACCAGGGAGATGGCAAACAATGCTAAGATGGTAACTCCCCTTCAAGATGACGACCACCCAATAACGAAACGAGATCTGAGGGAAATGGAAGCAAGATTAGAAGCACGATTAGAAGAAACACTGAAGGCCACAATGGCTCCCATGCAGGTACTAATCAACAATCTAACCTCCAAAGTGGAAGCTCTAGAGAACAAGAACCAAATGCAAGAAAGAATAATAGAGCAATACCGGGAGGAGAACACACGTGTGAACAAGAAACTGGACGAACTGGTAAACCAAATGGAAGCAGAACACAGAGAGATGAAAATTAAGCAAGCCGACCTCGAAGACCGCAATAGACGTTGTAACATCCGCTTCCGCAACTTTCCTGAAAAAACAGAGGAGAAAAGCCCAGCAGACCTAATTATACGCTGGCTGAAAAACACAATCCCAAGCCTGAAACTTGAGGCAGATGACTTGGAGAGGGCTCACAGAGCCCTAAAACCTATGCCAAAACCCAGCGCCCCCCCAAGAGACATCATTGTATGCTTCACACGCTACAAAAAGAAGGAAGAGGTATGGAACCATCTCAAAAACTCAACCAACCTTCGATATGGAGAAACCCCCATTCTGGCCTTACAGGACCTTTCTCAGGATACCCTAAACCGGAGGAAAAGCCTGCGCCCATGCACCCAGCGTCTCCAACAAGCAGGGATCAAATACCGATGGGGCTTCCCCTTCCGCCTCATTGTAACAACCAATACAACACAACACATGGCTACCAACATACCTGAGGCCCTGCAACTACTAAAAACCTTGAACTCAACCTCCCACCGGAATGGCAACCGACAAACCCACCAAGTGACAGCCCCAACCACGAGGAAACAACAGCAAACAACTGGACAACGGTACAGAAGAAAAAGAAACAACAGAAGCGGCACAACAACGCAAACCAATACAGGCAAGCATCATGCTCAGAACCGTCCCGCCGGCCATACGACACAAGAAACCAGACCAAGATCAACCAAACCAATTCATCGCAGATGGACAACCCTACAACAACAACAACCCCAGCTGAATGAAGCAACCAGGAAAAAACCACAAACTGAAGGACTGGTGACTCCCCCCCTTTCCCCTCTCCCCCCCCCAAAACATAGATTTAGTTAACACCATCAACATCCCCCCCAGCCCCGCACCCCCACAGGAATCCCCAACCCAACACCAGTCCAGACGACCTCAACCACATTCCCCATCACCCACACCTTCAACACCCCCATACTCCATACTAGGGAAAACAACTCCCACAACCTTAATAACACAACCCACAATCAGGCTAAAATCTGATACCCAACCAGCACTATGGTGGCACCAGAGCGTACCAGCACCCACATCCCCACCCCAACACACCAATAATGTTGCTCATAACATTGGCAACATTGCTTATGAACCTTATACCTGACAGCGACGTTACAAAGTCACTTCACACTGTCTCACTGATCACCCCCTATCGCAAACAACAGGGGGGATGGCCTGTCCTTGAACACGGCCTTCCACACCAGCTGAGACCTAGGACCAACTGGCTAAATGCCAGATGGCCTAAAATACCCCAAACAAACACCTATATGACTACATATAGGAAACTCTCTACAACTTACCCCCTACTCTTTAACCCAAATCTTACTCTAATCCCATTAGCCCACCACACCCTAGGTCAGCGCAACCCCACTTTTTTAAACAACACGAAGAGAGAGACACAAGACAACCCGAATGGGTTGGCAAGGAATTGCCCCACATAATAGATAAGCAAGATGGCTAACCTAAAAGCAATTACATTAAACGTGAGGGGGCTGGGAAACCCCATCAAAAGAAAACGCATCACCTCATACATAAACACCATGAAACCACACATCACCTTCCTACAAGAAATACACAACCCACCCAAAGGCAGCAAACTCCTGAGCGACCCCCGCTTCAGTCAACAGTGGGTCGCACGAGGCTCAGGGAAAGCTCGTGGTGTAGCCATAATACTCAGTAGAGACCTGAACTTCACTGCCACAACAGTCCTCAAGGACAAAAAGGCAGATTCATTTTCGCTAAAGGGACACTAGATGGCAAAATCAAACTGACAATCGGCTCCATATATGCCCCAAACACGAAACAATTAGAATTCTTCCAGAAGACACTAAACAAATTCCTCTCCTTCTCTGAAGGGGAAGCAATCCTAGGAGGGGACCTCAATCTAAATATGAAAGGTATATCCCTGAAAGATATCCACCCCACAACCCCATGGGCAACCTTCCTCCGAAGGAAACCCCCAACAACCAGGAACTCTTACAAGTTACTAAAAATGCTAAAAACCAGGGGTCTCTACGACATTTGGGGTGAGCAAAACCCGGAGACATCAGCCATACATTCCAATCAGGACGCCATGATACAGTGTCCAGACTGGACAGCATTCTACTCACACAGGGTCTGATCCCCTCAGTAGAATCAACAAACATAGGTAACATTAAAATCACAGACCACGCCCCAGTAGAAGTCATTGTTAAAATAGGAGAAGGAACACAAACCACCCCATCATGGTCCTTCAGTCCCATCCTAACTACAAACAAACAAATTAGAGAGAGTCTCACAAAACCCTCCAAAACTACTTCAAAGAAAACGATGTAAACAATATAACAACCCCCCTCCTATGGGACGCAATGAAAGCGGTCACCAGAGGAGCTTGCATAAAAGAGAAAACATTCATTTAAAAACCTCCTCAAAAATTAGCAAAATAGAACAAGACATCACAGCCCTCTCATCACGCTACAAACAAACAGGATCTAAAAACTCCTCAAACTTATAGAACAAAAAAGGAGAGAACTAGACTCCCTAGAAATTAACAAAACAATGATCAACATTCTATACTCTAAACAACGTTTCTACGAATATGGAGGGAAAACTCCAGATTACTAGCAAATAGATGTAGGAAAAAGCACTCAAAACAAGAATACACTGCATCACCAAAAAGACGGCAACATAACATTCTCCCCCAAAGAAATAACCTCAGAATTTGCAGAATTCTACTCCAACCTATACACCTCCCATAACCCACCAGAGAAGGAAATCAGAACATTTCTAGCAGGACTGACCATGCCTACCCTAACTAATGAGGAACAGGAATTCATGGACAGCCCTATCACCCCAGAGGAAATAGATGCGGTCCTCAAAAACCTGAAACCACACAAAGCCCCAGGCCCAGACGGCTTCACAGCAGAATTCTATAAGAAATTCAAAGAACCCTTGATGCCCTACATGACCCGCCTATTCAACGACATCATAAAAGGGGGCCCCATCCCCAAAACCTGGACCCACTCCAAAATAGTCTCCATCCCAAAACCACTAAAAGACAGCCTCAAAGTAGAATCATACCGCCCAATCTCATTAATAAACCAAGACTACAAGATATTCACATCAATCTTGGCCAACCGCCTAAAAATCTTCCTACACAAGTTAATAGCCCCAGACCAGACTGGCTTTGTCCCTGGCCGCAATATAACAGACCCCATCAGGAAACTACTGAACCTGATCGAACACAGCAAGGCAACCAAACTCCCATTGACAATTATGTCCCTAGACATCCTCAAAGCCTTTGATTGCTTGGAGTGGAAATACATATTAGCAGTACTAACTAACATGAAATTTGGCCCCAACTTCCTACAAATCCTCAAACAAATATACTCCCAAGCCTCAGCAAAATGCAGAACTAACAATATGGATTCTAACACTATAGCTATCCAAAGAGGCACGAAACAAGGATGCCCACTGTCTCCCTTCTTATTTATCCTGGCTCTGGAACCCCTAGCAATCCGCATCCGAGCAGCCACAGACATCAAGGGAGTGGAAATAAAAGGCAGAACCTATAAATTAGGGCTCTTTGCAGATGACCTAATGGTCACAACACCAGACCCCATAAGCACAGCAACCTCCCTAATCAGAGAACTCAACACATTTGCAATGGTGTCGGGCCTACAGGTAAATTTTACAAAGTCAGAAGCTATGTGCTTCAACACCCCTCCTCACACCCAAAAAGAACTCACGAAGGTCACCAAAATAAAACTTTGCCACACCAAGTTCAGATACCTAGGGGTACAAATAACCAGAAACCTCAATAAATTGTACCTCCACAACTACAAGCCCCTGTGGCGACAAATTAACAAAGACCTAAAGAGATGGAATAACATGAACTTCACTCTCTCAGACAAAATAGCCATGATCAAAATGATCACACTCCCAAAACTAACCTACCTATTCCAAACCCTCCCAAGCTGATCCCTCAACCCAACTTCGCAGTTGGCAGAGAAAACTACACTCTTTCATCTTCTCACATAAAAACCAAGAATAAGCCCCAAATACCTGCACCTCCCCACCTCAGAAGGAGGATGGGGAATCCCCAACATAGAAGCATATTACAATGCCAACCAAATACGCCACATAATCCCATATATACTAGAAGATGAGACAAAACAATGGGTACACCTAGAGAGGGACACAATTGAAAACACCTGCACCACAACATACCCACTCCTCCCAAACAAACTAAAGAAAATTCCCACAACACTTAACAGGTACACACAGACCATGCTCAAAGCATGGAAAACACAAATAGGCAAACTATCCCCAACCCCATCCCCACTAACCTCCTGGTGTACCACCCATTATTCCACCGTGCAGCACAAAACCTCAAGATAAAAACCTGGCGAACCAAAGGCTTATATCGCCTAATAGACTTTTATAAAAATAACAAACCCTTGTCAACACAAGAAATACAAGACAAACTAGAAGACACCCAAATGCCCTGGTTAACACAACACCAACTTCATGCCCTCTTAAACAACCCAACAGTAAAATCAGCAGCAACTAGGCCCCTGACAACCTTCGAAAACCTCCTCCTAACAACAAAGGGAAACGGTAAAGGGACGGTATCCGCAATATACAAAATACTACTCCAAAATCCTGTAAATCCCCTAGACGCAATCAAAAAACAATGGGAGAATGACATAGGTTATGAGATTAACCCCACTCAATGGACCAGAATGTGGTCTAAACCCCCCTTTAAATCCATATCAACGAAAAGAAAAGAACTCACACTGAAACTCACCTACAGGTGGTACCTAACACCAAGGAAACTAGCGCTAATACACCCAGGAACCTCACCAAAATGCTGGAGAGGGTGCACCTCCACAGGCACATACCTCCACATGTGGTGGGAGTGTCCCAAAATCCAACTATTCTGGACAACAGCCATACAAGAAATATGTAAAATAACTAAGCAAGTAATAGACATCACCCCAGAATTGGCCCTACTAAACATCTTCCAAGACAACAATGCCCATTTACACCACAAAGAACTCATAACCCACCTGCTCTCAGCAGCCAGAAACACCATAACCAGACACTGGAGAGACCTGTCAGGAGTAAGCATGGACCAATGGTACCAAATAGTATGGGAAACAGCCCTACTAGAAAAATTAACTAATAAACTGAAACTGACACGGGGACAAACAGAAGAAGACGCCTTCACCCCGGTATGGCTCCCATTTATCACATACACAGCCCAACAGGACAATGACAATAATCCACCAACAGCATACAAATCAATATGGCTAACCTGATCCAAAACACCCACCCACCTCACTCACACACGAAAACAAAGATCACCACAGCCAATCACAAGCAAACAATCACACCCTAGGCCAACCCCAACCTCTCTCACCACCAAAGGAACACAAGTGAACAACACAAGCAACGCTGACACCAAACTCTACATACATTAAACATAATAGAAACACCGCCACCCGACCCCACCCCCATCCATCTTCCCTCTCTCCACCCCCCCTTTTCTTTTCTTTTCTTTTTTTCTTCTTCTCCCCCTAATGCCTCAACAAATGAAACGGATTTGTAAAAATGTTACATGGGAAAAAAAATACGAGGCACTACACTTCTGTAAAACAAGAAAATCCTTAATAAAATATTTTAAAAAAAAAAAAAAAAAAAAAAGAGAGAGATGGATTCTGGACTAGATGCCGAACGCCGCAACCCCACATCCCGCGGCCTGATATGGCACGCTCATCTTAGGTTCTTATTTCATTAAACATGTGCCCTGGATAGATTCTGGACAGGGTGTATTGATTCGAATCATGGCAATTGATTATGCTCTTATATCTTGTCTGCTTGAAAATAACAAGCCTCTATAAAAATAACAAGTCTGAAAATGAACAAAGAAACCAAGGCAGTATCTGTTGACGAGGGATACGTCAGCAAGAACTTCTGTTGCCTTGAATGATTTTCTTGGAACATTTGGGACAGATAAAAGAAAATGCACATTACAGAATTAAACTGTGGAACTCACTTCCACAGGAGGCAGTGCTGCCCACCACCTTGGCTGGCTTTAAAAGAAGATTGGACAAATTCATGGAGGAGGGAAGGCCATCCATGTCCACTAGCCATGATGGCTATGTTCCGCCTCCACGGTTGGAGGCAGCAATGATCTGCACGCCAGTTGCTGGAAACCCCTGGAAGGGAGAGGGCTCGAATTCTACTTGCAGCTTTCTCAATTGAGGCATAAGGCTGGCCACCATGAGAACAGGTTGCTACACCAGGCGGGGGCCCCTTGGGCCTGATCCAGCAGGTCATTTCTTATGTTCTTACGCACCCTCAGATGCCCTCTAGTCTAAGTCTTGGCTCACCTGGAAGCAAGAAGGCCCTGGTTTTCCGGCAGGAATATCCGACTGGTAGTAAACTTTCAAGTTAGGGACCATGGCAATAACAGTCTTTATGACCAGGGAAATGATTTCATCCGTGAGCTCCTCAATGTTGACTCCGTTGGAGGACAACCTGTTCAGGATACTGGAGAACGTCTGTTTGCTGCCTGTGTTGGCGCTATCTGAGTGGACAAAGTTCCCGCTGTGGACGTTGAGGGAGTAGTTGGTCAGATGCATAAAGACCTGGTGGAGGTTCTTGTGGGTCGGCTCCTGGTAGGGCTCCGTGCAGAACCGGCAGAGCCCGTTTTTGGCAATGTAGATCTCCAGCGGGTCCAGAGACTTCAGCAGGACGTAAAGGCGGATGTCAAACTTCAGATTGTCAATGAGAAAGGGCTTGGACATGTACTCCTGGACCACCGCAGGTCGTAAAGGGGTGCTCCCCGTCACCTGGATGTCGCTGGGCTCTTTAATGAGGTAGATTCCGTCCCCCTGGCAACCACCGTCAGGTTTCACAATGAATATGGGCTTCCACCTGGGGTTGGTTTCTTTCATCATCTGGACCTGAAAGGAAGCAAGAAGGCAAAAGAACGTTTGTTACATTTTGCCTATCCCTTCTTTGTCCTAGGTAAAGGTAAAGGGACCCCAACCATTAGGTCCAGTCATGGCCGACTCTGGGGTTGCGGCACTCATCTCGCTTTATTGGCCGAGGGAGCCGGCGTACAGCTTCCAAATCATGTGACTAAGCCTCTTCTGGCGAACCAGAGCAGCGCACGGAAACACCGTTTATCTTCCCGCCGGAGCGGTACCTATTTATCTACTTGCACTTTGATGTCTTTTCGAACTGCTAGGTCAGCAGGAGCAGGGACAGAGCAAGGGGAGCTCACCCCGTTGCAGGGATTCGAACTGCTGACCTTCTGATCGGCAAGTCCTAGGCTCTGTGGTTTAACCCACAGCGCCACCCACATCTTTGTCCTAGATTGGCATAAATTATTTCATTCATTCATTCATTCATTCATTCAATACATACATACATACATACATACATACATACATACCCTGCCTTTCTCCACGGCAAGGATTCAAGGCAGCTTACAGATAGAAGAACAGCTCACAACATGGGGGTGGAGAATTTACCTACCCACCTACCCTCTCTCCCTGACTAAGTCCACAACTTACTCGGGACTGACATTCCAGGGGTGTACCATATTGGCCCAAACATAAGCCGCACCCGGATATAAGCCGCACCTTTAAAACTGGAGGAGAAAAAAAGACAATACCCGAATATAAGCTGCTCCCTTAAAATTGGAGGGGGGGATTCTGAAAGGCACCCGCCCAACAAAGCACACTCACACAACAAGGAACACACTCACACACAAGGCTTCCCCAGCGAGGGTTGGGGGGCCAAATGAAAAGGGGGTCAGCAAGCACCTCTCCCAAACAAGCACACTCTCACCACAGAAGCGCATGCGGTCGTCCACTGCCAAATACAGTAATCAGATGCTGCCCAGCTGTAAATGAACAGCCTCACAGCTGACCAGAGGTTGCAGTGCGTAGGAGAAACCTTGCGTGGGCAGCAGCCGCTGCTCAGCTTGGGGGAATGACGCCTCACAGCTGATAGGCTTCTGCGGCATGCCCAGAGCTCATGTGGTCCTGAGTTGCCGCAGATCAGTTGAATGGCTCCCTGCAACAGTGCGCCACCTCACAGCTGATCAAAAAGCCAAGGGCATGAATATAAGCTAAACTTTAACTTTTCATGGTCGGAATTTGGGGGAGAAGTGTGGCTTATATTCGGGCCAATATGGTTGATTTTGCAGAAGCCAAAATGATGTATTTTCAAAACACATAGGGCTCAATGGCGGAAGGGATTCCTGAAGTCTTTTTCCATGGATTCCTGACCCCTTTTCTTTTCTTTTAATTTTTTATTTATGATTTTCAAGTTTATACATTTCACTAATTTCACCATCATTTTAACATTTCAAAACTTGACTTCCCCCTCTTTCTGCGGTTCCTTAAATTTCTTTTTAGTATCTTCTGAATATCCAAATTAACTTAATTTGTTCATTTATTCATCTACTTTAAATATATACTCTTATGAAACTGCAGGTTACTACAATAATCCTGCCATGTTCTTATTTGCTTACAGTTTATTTGTAAATATCCAATAAACCATTTCCATTCTTTTATATAAAAAAAGTTTGTTATCTTGATTTCTTATTTTTCTGGTAAGTTTCGCCATTTCTGCATATTCCATAAGTTTTTGTATCCCTTCTTCTTTTGCTAGGACTTTTGCTTCTTTAAATTTTGGGGAGAGTAGCATTCTTGCCGCTATAGTAGCATACATGAATAAGTTTCTATAGTACAGTTACCAGACGTCCCCGTTTCCCAGGGACAGTCCCCAGATATAGAAATCAGTCCCCTGGCAAAATCCATCTATTTAGTAGGAAGTTGAAAAGTGTACCCGGATTCATTGAAAAAAATCTGGTAACCTTATTCTATACAGTTTAGGTAGTTCTGTCCCTATAATTCCCAAAAGGGGGGGGGGGGGTTGATTCCTGACCCCTTTCTGACCCACTTTCATTTATTTATTTATTTTATTTATTTATTTTATTTATTTATATTATTGCCAAGTGCGTAAAGCTGAACATGCACAAGTTAAATGTGATAAAATAAATACAGTCATACCTGAGGTTAAATGCGCTTCAGGTTGAGCGTTTTCAGGTTACGCTCTGTGGCGACCCGGAAGTAACAGAGTGCGTTACTTCCGGGTATCGCCGCTCGCGCATGCGCAGACGCTCAAAATGACGTCACGCGCATGAGTGGAAGCGGCAAAATGCGACCCGCGCACACGCGTCTTACGTTCTACTCAGGATGCAAATAGGGCTCCGGAACGGATCCCATTTGCATCCAGAGGTACCACCGTAAACAAACAAACAAATAAGTAAATAAATTTATAAATTTATACTCTGCCCTCCCTGGCTAAAACTGGGCTCAGAGCGGCTAACATCAAATGTATAACACATTAACATAAAATCAGTCAATCAATTAAAACACATCCTAAAATCAGATCAGGATCTGAATACATAATGTGCATAAATTGCAGGCTTACTCTGTCTGTGTGTGTGTGTGTGTGTGTGTGTGTGTGTGTGTGTGTTGTATTAAAACCATATAGATAATTACAATAAAAATAGCATGGCACCAGCCTTTTGGGGCTTGTGCCGTGTTAAGGGGGGGTAGTACCTTTGGTGGGGAACATGTCATGTTCCTTCTGGGCAGTTTGTCCCCCTTCGGTCCCCACCCTGCTCTCAGCTCTCACCTGTGGCTCCTAGAAGCTGTGACAGCGGACACACCCCAGGAATGGCTTCAACTGGCCGGATAATCCAGGTGAGAATAGCCAAGGGGCGGATGGAGCTTGTCAACCTGGGAAGGTAGCCCATCTAGGAGACAGAAAACTCTGATCCTAAACCTCTGCTGCCTTGTGGGCTCACGAGTAGAGCCTACACAAATCCAGAATAGAGTCCCTAAATGGTTGGATGGCGCCTTGTAGGCCTCCTTCCAGCAACTCCTGCAGCCAAGCTTGTGCCAAACATCTTGCTTTGCTTTCCTTTGGACCACATCAGCAAAGTCAAGGGGGTGGTCTTGTCGTATGGACAGCCCAGCCTGGACCTCCACACATACACTGCCCAGCCCTACTGCCCAGAGAGGTCACTGCTAACACAGAGGTTTGTCTTCACCCCCAGAGGGGCACTCGATTGTCTCTCAAGACAGACGGATGCCAACAAGCAGCCCTTTCACTGAAAGCATTCAGCCCCCTAAAGCCTGTTAGAACAAGGAGGACAGCAAGGAGGGAGCCAGTCTGGTTTCTCTAGGGAGGGAGTTCCAAAGTCTGGGAGCAGCCACCACTGGCAAGGCCCCCTCCTTCGTTCCCATAAAGCATGCCTGTGACCTATAGCTCCCAAACCTTTCTCAGGCCCCCACCCACTTGGCTCCATGAACTCGTCCCCAGGGCCTGCTGCCCTACTCTTTAGAAAGCATTATTCTGAACAGAAGTTTGCACAACCCACTAGGGAAGATAATAACACTATAAAATTCAAACAATCAATTGCACTTTTATTCAAAATCCAATTAAAACTATCTGGTTTGATTAAGCCAATGAAACTGATGAACTGGGTCCAGTGATACCAGCTTTGTTGCTTAGTCTTGCGTACCACCTTTAGAAACTTATTTCACTGTTCAGTAAATTCTCAATGCAACAGATGGGCTTGATGAAGTGATACCGTTTTCCCAATGTCTGGTTTAAAGTCACTTAGCAGGAGTCTTAAATCGCCCTCTGCCACCCCCTTGCCTCTTAGCACGCACATATGCGCACACACACACGTACGTGCAGGTAACCCCACTGCCTCCTAGGAGGCAGTTATCTCCCACCTTGGGAACCACTGAGTGTATATGCTTCAGCCTCTTCCACCCGTCCCCACTTTATCCTCAAAACCACCGTGTGGGGTAGGTCATTGTGACGTTAACATATGAGAGTGCTGGAGGTGAAATAGTTAAACAGGTTACCCAATCAGAACCCAGGGGGTGGAGTCAGAGGGACTATAAAAGCAGCTCTGGGAGGAGTTTGTTGGGAGTTGGGTGGTTGGTTGGAGTGGGAGTGAATTGGAACAGAGTCTGTGGGTAGTCAGGAACAGTTAGGGGTTAGGAAGACAAGTAAATATCTGAGAGGTGGTTTAGTGAGTGAGAGCAGGTAGTGGAAGTTATAGGTCTGGATAGGCACCCCATGAATGTCATTGACTGATACCGTTTATGAAACCACACGCTTGTTAAACTCCAATAAATACACAGAAGTTTCTGTTCCAATTTAACCCTGACTGGACTCAGTATTGTACCAGGTAGGGCCTGGGTGGTGGCAGCGAGAAATAAAGTGGTGGCACAGGGATCAATAGATGGTGAAATGTCCGGGGACCCTGTGTGATCGCCACAGTCATGCAGAGAGACAGTGACAGCCCCAAGGTGACCTTCAAGGCAGAGAGCATGGCTTTAAACCCAGGTGTCTCCCAAACCAAGTCAGATACTCTTATCCACTGCATCGCACTGCAACTCATGGGATGCTGGCAACTGTAGGGAACAGCATTTGCTGCCGTTCTTAGAATACTGGGCGCCACGACACGTTTCTGCAACGATATCCAGGGGTGTGGAACCTGAGGCTACTTCAGCAGTCACGGGGAACATTCCCCGAAAGCACATGAGAACCAGGTTGCGTCCAAGGTGTCACTGTGAGTATATAAAGCCCTTAACTTTGGACCAGCTCACCCACGGGAATGCCTTGCCCGCTTGACCGCTTCAACTGAGGGAATGGGCCCTGCCACACAGTGCCCACAGCACATCTGTAAAAACTTGATCATTTTGTGTGGCACTTTGGAACTCCCTGCCTGTATTCTTTTTGGTGCCTGCTGAAGGCATTCTTATTTAGACAAGCGCACCCCACATTTTAGACAGTTCGTATGAGTCTTAATCCGCTTGAATCTATTCTACTGCCGTCTAAACTTTCTGTATGTTTTAAATTATGGTTATAAATCTTTTTGTGATAATTGCACTGCTTTATCTTTTTTTGTAAGGGACATGGGTGGCGCTGTGATCTACGCCACTGAGCCTAGGACTTGCTGATCAGAAGGTCGGCGGTTCGAATCCCCGTGACGGGGTGACCTCCCGTTGCTCGGTCCCTGCTCCTGCCCACCTAGCAGTTTGAAAGCACACCAAAAAGTGCAAGTAGATAAATAGGTACCGCTCCGGCGGGAAGGTAAACGGCGTTTCCGTGCACTGCTCTGGTTCGCCAGAAGCGGCTTAGTCATGCTGGCCACACGACTTGGAAAAACTGTCTGCGGACAAACGTCGGCCTGTAAAGCGAGATGAGCGCCGCAACCCCAGAGTTGTCTGCAACTGGACTTAACTGTCAGGGGTCCTTTACCTGTACCTTTTTATCTTTTTTGTAAACCTCAAGTTTTTTCTACAATCGAGTGGTCTGTAAATTTTATGAAATAAATAAAATGAAGAAGAGCCTGCCAGATCAAGCCAAGGGCCCATCTAGTTGCAGCCACCCAAATGCCCACTACGGGGAACTCTCTCCCTTCCTGAGGTTCCCAGCAATGGGCATTCAGAACCACGGCTGCTTCTTGCGGGCAAAGCATAGCCATTGTGGCTGGTAGCCATCAATAGCCGCCTCCTCCATGAATGTGCCCAGTCCTCTTTTAAAGCCACAGGTGCCTCCTGTGGGACCAAATGCCATAATAGTTTAACTCTCTGTGTGTGAAGGAGTTTCTTTCTTCTGCCCCAAATATCCCAACATTCAGCTTCATTGGCAGCCCATGAGTTCTAGTGTTAGGAAAAACCTTTTTCAATTATTTTACTTTTAAAAGACAACTGAAGGCAGCCCTGTTTAGGGAAGTTTTTAATGTCTGACGCTGTATTGTTTTTAATATTCGGTTGGAAGCCGCCCAGAGTGGCTGGGGAAACCCAGCCAGATGGGCGGGGTATAAATAAATTATTATTACAGTCATACCTCGGGTTAAAGTTGCTTCAGGTTAAGCATTTTCGGGTTGCACTCCAAGGTGACCCAGAAGTAACGGAACGCGTTACTTTCGGGTTTCGCCGCTCGCGCATGTGCAGACGTTCAAAATGACGTCACGCGCATGCGCAGAAGTGGCGAATCTTGACCCGCAGACGCGGGTTGCGTTTGCTTCAGGATGCGAACAGGGCTCCGGAATGGATCCCATTCGCATCCAGAGATACCACTATATTATTATTATTATTATTATTATTATTATTTCTGTCCACTTTGCCCACCCCATGCATGGAAGCTACTCTCATGTCGCCTCTCATTAACCGTTTCTACAAACTAAGAAGCCCCCAAAAATGTAAACTTTCTTCACAGGGGACCCCCCCCGCCCCACCCCCTTCTCCCCATGATATTTGAGAAAGTGGCGCTAACTGGGAGGGGGCCGTCTTGGGAATCACCCAGAATCATTATTTTATTAAGGGTTAGGGTAGAAAGTGGGGCTGCACCATCAAACTACCAGCAAAGGATAGTTCCCGGGATATCCCACCCCAGGAAGCTTCCAGGCAGAGTTTCATTACACTGTCTCCGCATTAGTATATAAAGAAAGGGGGGGGAGGAATGTGGCGTAAAATGTCATGTTTAGTAACAAAGAAGTACTGCAGACGGAGGACCATATGCAGCCGTGTTTTATCAGCCATCTGCCTATTTTTTTCCAGAAAGGCAAATCAAAGCCTCTACCAAGGCAGGTGTGAGGGGGGTGGGGAAGATATTGTAGAACAGGAGTCAGCAAGCTTTCTCAGCAGGTGGCCGGTCCACTGTCCCTCAGACCTTGTGGGGGGCCGGACTATATTTTGGAGGGGGGGAAATGAACGAATTCCTACGCCCCACAAGTAACCCAGAGATGCATTTTAAATAAAAGCACACATTCTCCTCATGTAAAAACATACTGATTCCCAGACCGTCCGCAGACCGGATTTAATAATAATAATAATAATAATAATAATTATTATTATTATTATTTATATTCCGCTCTCCCCGGCCAGAGCTGGGCTCAAGGCTGCTAACGTCAGTAAAATTTAATGGGGGGGGGGGGGGGACAACAACAAAACAATTTAAAATACAGGTTAAAATGCAATTTAAAATGCAGCCTCATTTTAAAAGTAGCCCATGGATCAAAGGGGAGGGGAAACATAAGGGTCAGACTGAGTCCAAACCAAAGGCCTGGTGGAACAGCTCTGTCTTGCAGGCCCTGTGGAAAGATGTCAAGTCCCGCAGGGCCCTAGTCTCTTGTGACAGAGCGTTCCACCAGATCGGGGCTATGGCCGAAAAAGCCGTGGCTCTGGTTGAGGCCAGCCTAACCTCCCTGTGGCCCGGGACCCCCAAGATGTTTTTGTTTGCAGACCGTAAGGTCCTCTGTGGGGCAAACCAGGAGAGGCGGTCCCGTAGGTACGAGGGTCCTAGGCTACATAGGGCTTTAAAGGTCAAAACCAGCACCTGGGCAAAGGGCCAGGAGAAGGTGGTGCCAGAGCCACCCTTTCCAAGCTGTAAAAAAAAGGGGTCACAGCCACACAATAAATTTAAAGCACCACTTCAGTGCACATGGCTTCACCCTGGGGACTGTAGCTGACTATGGGCGCTGGGAACTGTGGCTCTGTGAGAAACAAACCATTGCTGCCAAATTTCTTTGAGGGCGGAGGAGTCAAAGAATGTATACACTGCTCAATCATAAAATAAAATCTCAGGCTGGCTGGCACTGTAAAGGATAAAACAAGAAAATTGTTGATAAAAATAATTAACAACAATGATTTAAAACACTTTAAAGAATTAAAATCAGCGATGAACTAAAAAAACAACAACATCAGCATTACAAATATCTAGGCAAGCTGGGAAAAAAGGAAGTTTTTGGCAGGCGAACAATGAAGTACAACAGCTGCCTGGTATCAAAAGGCAGAGAGCTCCAAACTGGGCAGTGCCATGCTAAAATACCAACTTCTTTCAAATTTCAAAGACCTTAGCAAGGACAGCTCACCTCTGCGAGAAAAATGGGGAACTCCTCTGGCAGGATCCAGGAGCGTGGGTAGAAGTCGTACTCCGCTGGGAAGAGTTCCTGCATCATCCGCATGGCAAGGCTCAAGGAGATCTTCCGGACCGTTTCGGTCATGCCTGAGGAAGAAGGTCAGCTGTGAGCAAGGGTCTAGGACAAGGGTCCTCCTCCAAATGCGCTCCCCGCAGCCAGCATGCCCAGTGGTCAGGCATGGGGCTGTCACAGCACACAAGTCTCTGGAGGGCCGCAGACTTATTTATTCTAGTTAGCTTGGCCCCATTGTTTTAGGAAAGTGGTTTTGTGTTGTTTCTTGAGGACTTTGGACCTGCCACCTGCAGCATTTCTGCACCAGAGGGAAAAGCCTTGCTCCCTCTTTTCACACCTTGCCTTGCCCAAGACGGTGCCACAGTTGTGAGAAGAGCCCGGCTGCATCAGAGTTTCTCCCAGGGGCCACGCTGGGGGCCCCCACGGGAAGGCCCCCCCTGGCAGGACATGGAGGAGGCAATGGCCTTCGCCCTCTCTTGCCCCCCAGCAGCTGGCAATCGGTGGGATAAAGGCCTCTGAGCAGCCAGGCTCTCAGCAGCACCCGGCCCCATTAGTCACGGGACTCCAACTCCCATCATCCCCCACGGTTGGCAGCGCTGGCTGGGGATGACGGGACTTGGAGTCCAACAGGATCTGGAAGGCCCCTCGTTCCCTGTCTCTGCTTTATAGAGAAGCAGAATGGAGAAGGAAAGAGCAGAGGTGGAAGGCACCCCAGGGGTCATCTAGCCCAACCCCCAGCAGTGCAGGCATCACGGCTAAGGAATCCCCTGACAGGTAGCCATCCAACTTCTGCTTACAATGACGGAGAGCCTTCTACCTTCAACCACCTCTTGCATTACTTATAATAATAACTTTTGATAGTTATTGATAATGATTACTTGATAATATAAAAAATAATAAATGGTGACCTCTGTTTTATTTTGCAAAGGCTTCAAAGCCCATGCACAGCGACAGTTGCACCTTGTTACTCGAACGTAATCCATTCTGGAAGTCCGTTCGACTCCCAAAACAGTTCAAAAGCTTCAGTAGTTCAAAAAGTGTGGCTTCCAATTGGCTGCAAAAGTTTCCTGCACTCAAGCAGAAGTCGCGTTGGATGTTCGGCTTCCAAAAAATGTTTGAAAACCGGAACATTTACTTCCGGGTTTTCGACGTTCAGGAGCCAAAACATAAGAGTACCAAGGCGTTTGAGAACCAAGGTATGACTGTGCTAAGGCAGCTTTTGCTCACACAGCAGCCTCTGGGTGCTTTTGGGGGGGGGGGGCCCACCCTCATCAGTCTCAGCAAACACATAACCCAGGAAGCCTGCAGAAACCTTGTTAGAAAAAGCTGCTCTCAGGAGCACGTTATGCTGAATGAAGCAGAAACTTCTCTCTCAGGAAGTGTCTGTAAGAATGCACACACTTTCCATTGAGCTAAAGAGGCCTTACTTCTGAGTAGACATGCAGAGCATTGCATGACAAAGGACGCCACAATGGAGCAAACTCCACACGGTTTTCCTGCTCAATTTTTCAGCTGTCATTCACGCCCTCCAATCTCTGATCATGTTGCTATTTAAAGGTATTGGTCACTTTTTTTATTAAAAATAAAATAAAACTTGAAGCAACTTACAAAAGCAACAAGCACATACATTAAAACCAGCGTAATAATGAAGAAAAATTGAAACGACAACCCTGTTTTTAAAAGGCAGGTTTAAAACATCCCACGCACCGAAGGAGGCCACAGATAATTAAAAGCCAATGGGTCTGGAGAAAAATAAATGTTTCTATCCGGCACCTAAATATATGTAGTGATGGCTCCAGGTGAGCCTCCCTGGGGAGGGTGTTCCACAAGAAGGGAACCACCTGACTGTTGTTGCCCTCCAGGCCTCCCACGGATCAGGTCCACGGAGAACAGCCTCAAAAGAGTGATGCACAGCCTGGGTTGGTCATATGGGGAGAGGGAGCCCTTGAGATATTTGGGTCCTGAGCCACATAAGGCTTTGTGGGTCAAAACCAGCACTTTGACTTGGGCCCGGAAACTAATTGGCAGGCAGTGTGGTCAGGCCAGGAATGGGCGTTCTGTGCTCAGAATGTCTTGCCCCGGTGAGAAACCTGGTCACCAAATTCTGCACTGGCTGCCAACCGTTTCCTAAGGAATCCCCATGTGTATGTGAGAATATTTCCGTTCCACCTTAAGGAACAGGCATGACTGTTGTGTATCACATGCCTGTTTACACTCCAGCACAGCTTGCTGGGAACTTCCGTTTGTGTATAGCTTTTGCTTTGGACATGAAGGAGAGAAGACATGTTTCCTTTTGTCCTGATGTATACTGAATAAACTGCTTGCAAATATGCTCGTGTATGCCTCTCCTGCTACTTCTGTTGTGCGTTTACTCTGCTGAGTGTGCATACACAGCTTCTGAAGCTGGGGTCGCAGTTTCATGCCGATCCAAGGACTGGAGATTGCCCGGCACATCGGCTGGTGGGCTGGGGCCGGCTGGGGGCCTGCCAATTGCCCCCGATTCCTTGGCTGCATCCCAACAGTGTAATGCATTGCTGTAATCTAACATGATCATCTATTGGGGAAGGTTTCGCCCAACTGGCCAGAGGCTGACACTGCCCAATACTGTCCTGTTTTGTTGCTGCTTGCTTACCCCATGCAAGGAGGAAAGCAGGGACCGAACACCTATCTTGCCACAGAGCTTTCTTTCTTACGTGAGAAGAGGCAGCCAAGTTGGCTGATCGTCGGAGCTAGCAGAGAAAACCAAACTTCAGAGTTTCATTAAGTTTGGCATTGGGGGGGGGGAGGGGCTGCCTTCCTGCCAACTCTATTCCAAGGGAGCAAAGCCTGACAGCTCTCTGCAGAACGCAATAAACAGAAAGAGCTGTGAGCTGTGATGAATCAATATCTTGGGCGCTTAGCTCTTACTTAACCGGATTCAGGTAGAGATTAAAGGAGAAGTAAGGGAGCTTTAAGAAGTTTGATAGACCTAATATTAGGAAAAGGTTGACTAAAACTCCTCTCTTCTCTTTAAAAATAATCTATGGGGGGGGGGGACCTGTCTGAGCTTTCCTTCTGAGACTGGAAGTGTCGCAGTTGAGTTCAGTGGGGGTGGTCATTGTTTTGTTCTGTTCTGTTCTTGCTTTTACTACATGTTTTGTGTTTCTGTCTCAAGGCAGTGTATGTGGTTTTCCCCCTTTCTCATTTAATCCTCACAACAACCTTGTGAGGTAGGTTGGGCTGAGAGAGGCAGTGACTGGCCCCTCCAAGGCCACACCTGGTGAGCTTCACAGCCAAGTGGGGATTTGAACCCTGATCTGTCCCAGGTCCGGCTCTGGCACTTTAACCAATACACCAAAACTGGCTAGGAAATCACACACACCCCCTCCCCAATGGTCTGACACCTTGAGGGGCACCAGCAGCCAGGATAGACCAGTGTGGGCCACTTCCGGCATGAGAGCCAACTTAGGCCTACCACAGCACTTTGGGCAAGGAGTGAAAATTTTACCATTGACCAACCAGCAGGCTAGTCTCTGCACCCATGCTCCCCTCCCTATGCTCCATCTTATCCCAGCAAGCAGGAGACATTGCACAGGGACACATTCTCGTCCACTTAAGAAAGGTGCAGATCAGGGTCCGTGACAGGGGCAGCCAGGGGAAAAGGGGATACGGCTTGGGAGGAATCCCAGGCCTGAGGTTGTGCACCCCTGGACAAGAGGCAGTAAATGCCACCCATGTGCCAGGAGCTAAATCGTGCATGAAAAGGACAAGTTTTCGCAGGCTGGTATTCAGTGTTGTTTTTATACGTGGCCAGGAATCTGGCAGAACAGTTCCAATTACAGTCATACCTTGGGTTACAGACGCTTCAGGTTGCGTTTTTTCGGGTTGCGGACTGCCGAAACCCGGAAGTACTGGAACAGGTTACTTCCAGGTTTCGGTGGTCGCGCATGCGCAGAAGCGTTAAATCATGCTTTGCGCATAACCGCCAAATCGCAACCCATGTGTGTGCAGACGCACCGCTGCGGGTTGCAGACGCTGCAGGTTGTGAACGTGCATCCCGCACGGATGACGCTCGCAACCCGAGTGTCCACTGTACACATAAAACGGTTTGGTCTTTTTAAGGGAGAAGAGGGTCAACTGAAGAAGCGTTAGGTGAATGGAGGAAAAACGAAGTGCGGATCTAATTAATGGAGTTGGTTTGGGTCCCAGGAGCTTCCTCCATCTCCCATGAGACAACCTTTCAGGTACCTGAAGAGGGTTTGCCTGTCTGCGAAGACAGAAAACACCACAAAGGGCTCCCCCTCTTCCCTTATACAACTGCTTCTTTTAAATGAGCAACGCAAAATAAATCTATTACCTGGAAATTTGTTGACTTGGCCCGAGTAGATGGCATTATCGTGAAACGAGACACCGTGCCAGTAGATGTCACAGGGAATGCGGCGGCCAAAAGGAAACTACAGCGAAGCACAAGAGGAAGAAGAGATAAGGTACATACAACTTTGAAGCGAATGCTATGCATAAATTGGAAACGATTTAGGTATGCAATTCTATTGCCTACGTTTACATGGGAGGGAGCCCCATTGGACACAGGATTTACTTCTGAGCAGACAGTTACCAGGACTGGTGGGCACATCACCCTTTCTCTGTGATCCGGGAGATGCTTTCATCCTCCGACTCCTGCGCCTGTTTCCTCAAAAGGAAACAACACTGTGCTCAGTTCTCATGGAAGAAATACAGGGACGCAGGGTGGAAGATACGCACATTTGCCCAATTTACAGGGTTTCAGAATTCAGCTTTTCTCATTGCAGGGTTGAAATTCGGTGCAGAGCTGTCATTTATTTATTTTTTAATCATGGGCTGGAGGAAACCTGCAGTAAATGTGTTGATGAGTGCATGGAAAGCCAATGTGGTCACTGGACCACGCAGCTCCCATCCTCCCTGACAGTTGGAAATGCTGCCTTGCGGAGGGGTGGCTGGGGCTAGAATCCAACAACACATTGGCTGTTCCTGGGCAGATCTTGCCAACCTGGTGCAATCCGAAACACCTGGAAGGCACCCGTATGGAGAAGGCTGTACTAGGGAGGCCCACATTCAAAAACCCCGCTGCCGCCCCAGCCATAAGCTCACCAAGTGATGTTGGGCCAACCCCACAGGGCCATTGTGAGGACACAGAACATAAGAAGAACCCTGCTGGGTGAGGCCAATAGCCCATCTAGTCCAGCATCCTGTCCTTACAGTGGCCAACCAGAGCTTCACTGGATGCCCCCCAAATTCCGATATTATGGATATCCAATGAAGCTGAGTGCTTGAAGATGGAATAAAGGTAAAGGTAAAGGGACCCCTGACCATTAGGTCCAGGCGTGGCAGACTCTGGGGTTGCAGCGCTCATCTCGTTTTACTGGCCAAGGGAGCCGGCGTACAGCTTCCGGGTCATGTGGCCAGCATGTCTAAGCCGCTTCTGGCGAACCAGAGCAGCGCACGGAAATGCCGTTTACCTTCCCGCCAGAGTGGTACCTATTGATCTACTTGCGCTTTGACGTGCTTTCGAACTGCTAGGTTGGCAGGAGCAGGGACCAAGCAACGGGAGCTCACCCTGTCACGGGGATTTGAACCGCCAACCTTCAGATGGGCAAGTCCTAGGCTCAGTGGTTTAACCCACAGTGCCACCCATGTCCCTTGAAGATGGAATAGACCAAAATAAATTATCGCAGAAAGACATGCACAGAAACATCCAATTTAAGGGGGAAATGTTAACCGCTCACCATCAGAGCAACGGCATTTTAGCTTCTCTGCTCTTATTACAGAAACACCCCAGAACCCCAGCCAGGTTTTAGAGGAGGAAACCCAACCCCTTGTTGCCCCGGTTCGCTGGCTTGGCAATTAAAACTTCCCTCACTGGTGCAGCTACTTAATCCTGGGGGACCGTTAAGCTGATGCAAGCTTGCTGCCCTCCAGTTCACCCTTCAAATCATGCGTCCACCCCCGGGACAAACAAACCTGTGCCCCCAAGACTGACTGGAACACTCAGAGGTGTATTGCAACAGACGCCAGACTTATGATGCAACGGTTTCCCCAGGGTGAATGCAGAGGCCGTTTCCAGGTCTCCTCTGAGGAGGAGGCAGCACAGAGCACCTTCATTCCCACTGCCACCCCTTTTTGCAAAGAAGCATGTTCACCACTGGAGCAACAACGTTTTAAAACACCCCCTGGCTGTTTACGGTTATCCCGCCCCCCTTACTATGGAAATTTTGTGGGCAAAGGTGGGAGGTTGCAGGGAAAGGAGGATCCTTTCTGCAAACAGATCTCCAAGAATGCCTTTTTTAAAAGCCTTAGTTTTGAAGGCAACTTGCTTTGGGAAAGGAGGGAGGGGTGTCTGAAATTAATTAGCACGCTAATTGGGGAAATTCTTTCTTCCTCTGCTGCTTAATGGAGCAAGTATGACACCCACAACAGTCAACTAGAGAGGAAGGAGGACCTCCGGTTCATTTCGTTATTGATTTACTCAGGAAGACGAAAGTTTGGGGAGAGTGAGGCAAAAAATGTGTAATTCTCAGGAAAACAACCAAGGGATGGAATCCCACCTTTTCCGCGCCCTCTTCAAATGCGCGAGGAATACAGATTTGGAGGCAAGCGTCAGGTAGCTCTCCCATACCCATGGAATCTTTGTTTTTTAAGTACCGTATTTTTTGCTCTATAAGACTCACTTTTCCCCTCCTAAAAAGTAAGGGGAAATGTGTGTGCGTCTTATGGAGTGAATGCAGGCTGTGCAGCTATCCCAGAAGCCAGAACAGCAAGAGGGATTGCTGCTTTCGCTGCACAGTGATCCCTCTTGTTGTTCTGGCTTCTGAAATTCAGAATATTTTTTTCTTGTTTTCCTCCTCCAAAAACTATGTGCGTCTTATGGTCTGGTGCTTCTTATAGAGCGAAAAATACGGTAACTAATATTTAAATCAATGCCAGTTTCAAAATACAGTACCAATGAAGAAAAATTATGCTGGCAGGGCACCTCTCATTTACAGCAGCGTTTCACACCGACAGCTTGGTAAGGATTTAAGAGCAGGGGTTGTCTTTTTAGGTTACCAGGAGGCGGGAAATGTTATTCCAGACTGGGAGAGACGAGGGAGGCAGACAGCCTAAAGGCCCATCTACTCCAATAACCCATTTCCCATGCTGGTAAGCCAGAAGCCCAGAGGCAGAATATTGGCCCAACAGGATATCTCGTACTCAAAAGATAGACTGCCTCTGAACAGGAGGTTTCATCGAACCCTACTCTCCTTTTCTAACGAATTGTCTCTAAGCAGTTGGCTCCTTACCTCTCTCGCCCTGATCTGGCCACAGTGATCCATGCGGGCTTGATTATTGTAACTCGCTCTATGCGGGGCTGCCCTTGAGACTGACCCAGAAACTCCAATGGGTGCAGAATGCCGCGGCAAGACTCCTTACGGGGTCCTCTATGCAGGATCACATTCACCCGGTGCTATACCAGCTGCAGTGGCTCCCGGTGGAGTACAGGGTCAGGTTTAAGGTGCTGGTTTTAATCTTTAAAGCCCTATACGGCCTAGGACCCACGTACCTACGGGACCGCCTCTCCTGGTATGACCCACAGAGGACCTTACGGTCTGCAAACAAAAACACCCTGGAGATCCCGGGCCACAGGGAGGTTAGGCTGGCCTCAACCAGAGTCAGGGCCTTTTCAGCCGTGGCCCCGATCTGGTGGAATGCTCTGTCACAAGAGACTAGGGCCCTGCGGGACTTGACATCTTTCCACAGAGCCTGCAAGACAGAGCTGTTCCACCACAGAACTCTAGCCCAATGGTTGCCATTAATTTGATTTGAACTGATTTTATAATGAATAGATTTTAGAATACTGTATTATTTTACTGTTGTTAGCCACTCTGAGCCCGGCTTCAGCTGGGGAGGGCGGGATATAAATAAAAATTTATTATTATTATTATTATTATTATTATTATACTTCCAAAGTCACCTAAGAGCCAAACTTCACATTATGTCTATACAGATGAGCTTACCAAAAAAGGGGGGGAGGGGGGAGATTTGAAAGAGGAACCTTTTTCCGCCTGTGGTGACACTGTCCACAGGTATTCAGATTTTGGACAGCGGTTTGTCAAGAAGTGACCAAAATACGCAAAACAAGCTATTTCAACTTCACCACAGCTTTGATTACTAAATCTATGGACCAATTGACTGAAAGGTTTCAGCTCTTGGGAACTCTCGACAGGGATGCTAGCAGCTGCCAGAACCTCAGTTTCCCCCAAATGGGAAACTTTACAGGACTTGTGACATTTGCTTTGATATAAAAACCAAAACCTCATAAATTATGTGTTGCCAAAGGCTTGAGGGTTCTTGAAAAATTCTGTGTTACGAAAGTTCTCTGTGAAGAGGGAGGGATTGTTAAAACCACGCTGAGAACTGTAGCTCTGAGAGTGGATAGGTGGGGGGGGAGTTTCACTCTTAGTTTTTATTTGTCTGTTACACACCCTTCTTTGCCCTCAGGTCCCACCATTAAAACATGGGGCAAAGAGTTGCATCTTCAGCATCCTTCGGAGGCCGCACAATGAAGGAGCCAAGCGCAACTCTGTGGCCTTGACTTAGGGGCCACCACAGAGTAGGCCCTCTCCTGGGTAATCGCCACCCTGAGCCTGCAAGGGTAGAGGGAATACCAAGAGGGTGCCTTCTGCCAATCTCAGCACTTAAGAGGGTTTGTAGGGAAGGAGGCTGTGGGAGAACTTGCATCTATATAGCATACAACCCTATAGAAATAAGGAAGTTGGAGCCGGTTCTGAGCACCAGGAAAACAAGAGCAGAAAGTCGGTGATATTAGCATCCACACGCCCCCCTCCCACTACAGCATAGCAAATAAGATTATCCCAGCTACAAGTTGATTAATTCTGAAACAGGCACAAGGAATGCATCCGCCACACAGCGCCGGCTCTTCCAGAGACAGAGCACCACAAAGCAGACAAGCCAATCCAGGCAGCATGGGGGGAAGAAAGGTGAGGGCAGAAAGGTGAGGGCAGAAATCCAGGCCCTTCGTTTGTTTGCTGCTTTTCATTTGCTTTGTTACAAGAATTTTTTATATATATATATATATATATATATATATATATATATATATAGTAAATGTTCATAAATGTACCAAGCAAGCATACACATAAATGTACAGACGACATGTCAGAGACCCACAGAAAAAGTCCCGAAACCATTTGTCTTTTCCACATTGACCTCAAATATTTCTCTGCAAGGTCGAAAGAGATGGGCAGCCTCCTTATTGTCTCTTTGCTCACAAATCCTGTCTCAAGGGCACATATAACATATGAATAGGGCAGGGATAGGCATCCTAAGACAGGAGTGCCCGGCGTGCTCTGGTCCATGGAGTCACGAAGAGTCGGACACGACTCAACGACTAAACAACAACAGGCATCCTAAGGGGTTTAACCGGCCCACAAGCCACCCGCTCGGCGGTTCCCCACATGCTGCGCTAAGCTGGCGCAGCGCAGGGACTCTCTTCTGTGGCTCTGGAAATCGCTTCTGCGCATGCGCACTTTCCGGCGTCTGGGCATGCGCAGAAGCAATTTCCAGCGCCACAGACATGCGCAGATGCGATTTCCGGCATTGTGCTGCACTGGCCCAGCCCACGGAGGATCTCTGCGGGAGTGATCTGGCCTGCCCGATAAGCCTTGCTGACCCCTGGAATAGGGTGAGCCTGTGGCCTGGATTCAGGAATTGAGTACCGGTAGTTATCATAACAAAAGAGTGGCCAGGATGCCCAGGCAATCCAATCAGGTAACCTGGCAGACAGGAGATAAACAACACACTCAGGATTCTGTTTTAGACCTTCCCTTCTGATGTATGTATGATGTACTGGAGGTGGTCTTGGGCTACACCCCTTCTGTGATGTATTTATGATGTATGGAGGGGTGGTTTGGGGCTCCAAGGTGAGCAGTTCAAAAGTCTATATAAGGGCTTGTGCGCATTGTTCTGGGCTCCTCCTCCTCTCTCCTGCGTGTGAGGGGAGCACCCTGTTGCAACAGCTTTAATAAAGATCAGGCTTACGAGCTGCTTTGCTTCTCAATATTCTCTGCTTGGCCTCTGTTATTTTCTCCTACCGATGGAGAATCTACAAAGAACTCTATAAGGGCTCTTGCATACCCCATAAGGGAGCTGTTTTTGTTTACAACAGCTTTCTCCAAAACACTTTTCCACTAAAAAAAAAATATCTAAAGGCAAAAAAGAACCTTGGCTAAAGGTATACAAAAGACACCTTTTTGGTGGGGGAGCAGGGTGGGAAAACCTGCCTGACTTCATTACAGTGCAAATAAATTTTAGAGCGTTTGAGTTTGTTCACAAGCCAAAGGCTAAAGAAAGCGCTAAACTGGTGGGCTGAGGCTTCCAGGAAGCCACGATTTCTTCCCTGACCCATAACGAGAGCATGTTATTGGTTAATTGTCCATGGCTGAAGGAAAGGCACTCTGCACATGCCAGGAGGTAGGCTTCTTCTCTGTTTTAATCCATTGTTTTTGCAAGGCTCAAAGCAGTGACAATCACCCTGGTAGACGTATAACAAAATTAAAAAGAAAAGCAGCAAGATTCAAGAAAACTAGCTGAAAAAACACTGAAGAGGAAGAGTTTCTGCAGCCACATCTGAACCCCAAGGAAAAGGGTATGTTTTCATACTTCTGACGAAAGGTTGCAGAGTTTCAGGGGCAGCTGACAAAGAGGCCCTGCTTCCAGGTGCTTTTGTTCTGGTGTGTAGCAACCCGCAGCTGAATTTGTCATTGCGCTGTGCCAGCATTCTGGGAAAAGGCAGAGGAATAAGGTTTTCTTCCAGCTCCTGCTCAAAGGCTGCCTTTGAAGAGGGAAAATGTTAAGCGGTCGTCCAGGACCCTCAACAATTGTCAAATGTTCTGGGGAAAGGAGGTGGATTGGGAGCATGAGTGCATGCAAAGAGAGCCCCCGACAACCCCCACCCTGCCATGCATACACCACAAACACACATATACATAAAGCAGAGCCCACCAGCAGGTTGGTGAAGACTATCATAAAGGAAGAGAGCCAGTTGTTAGTCAGACCACTGGGAGACCTGAGTTTGAATCCCCCACTTGGCTATGAAGCTGACTGGGTGTGGCCTTGACCCCTCACAGCCTAACCTACCTCACAAGGGTGTTATGGGGATTAAATGAAGAGGGGGGGGGACTATATATGCCACCTTGAATTCCTTGAGTGAAAAGGTAGGATAGAAATACAATACAGTCATACCTAGAGTTAAATGTGCTTCAGGTTAAGCGTTTTCAGGTTAAGCTCTGCGGCGACCCGGAAGTAACGGAGCACATTACTTCCGGGTTTCACTACTCGCGCATGCGCTCAAAATGACATCATGCGCATGTGCGGAAGCGGTGAATCACGACCCGCGCACGTGCAGACGCGGGTTGCGTTCGCTTCAGGATGCGAACGGGGCTCCGGAACGGATCCCGTTCGCATCCAAAGGTACCACTGCAAATAAACAAGGAAGATAAAGCTAGCTCCTCCGCAAGCAGCTTTTGGTTACTGGCACTTTTGCTCTCAGACACTTCTTTTTTCTTTTCTTTTTTTGCAAGCCCTGGTTGCAGCGCGGACCGATTCTCCACCGCACCTGTACAGCCCGTAAGCTAAAGCAGCACATTTCATGCATAGGTCCCCTGGGGGGAAAGGGTGTCGTGGAAGTGAGAGTGAAAGGTAAAAAAACGTGAAACAGATCTCCTATTTTCCAGAGAAGGTAAGGAACAAACAGGAAAGGAAGGCGGGGGGGGGGGGGCGGCCAGCCACACACCAGGAAATCAGGGAGTTATGGGACCTGACTGTTTGCATAGCTGCTGCAGCTGTGTTAGTGAAACAATGCCACTGTAACCATGGCAACAGCAACCCAGAAAGGAAGCCCCGCCGTCAGCTGTTCCGCCTGTCTTCCAAGACCCCCACCCTGAGCTCTTCGAAATGCCTCACAGGGCCCCACCCGCTTGCCTGTTTACCTACCCTCACCCCCACCCCCCCAGAATAATTATATGCCACCTTTTTCTCCAATGAGCTCAAGGTGGTCTATATGGCCCTCCCTGCTCCTCATTTTATCTCACAGCAACTCTGGCAGGTTGGTTAGGCTGAGAGAGGCCCAAGGTCACACACCCCATGAGGTTCGTGCCGAGTACAGATTTGAACCCTGGTCTCTCCCACATCCTCTGCCACTTCCACCTGGCCCCTTGCTGCCATCCTACGACCAGAGATACATTCACAGAACCCACCTCCTCTTCACCTCCCCTCCCTCAAACCCACCTTCTCCCTTAAAGCTTTTGCACAAGACCCCAACCAGGTGAAACTCTCAGCCCAAGCACATTGGGACCACAAGCAGCCATGCTCAGCCGCTGTGGCCTTGGCAAAACAAAACCCAGACAGGTCCCTGCCCCAAGGAGCCTTCAGTTGCTATCACCATTTTCACCGCCCACCGCTGTGGTATATGGCAACTGGTACGCAGCTTTTCAAAACCAAAAAGCGGAAGAGACAACATTGCAGATATGTGGAATCACTTCTTAAGGACACAAGAAGAGCCCCTTGCCCATCTAGTCCAGCCGAGTCATCAGCTGATTCCTATAGGCTGCAGCCAGAATGGTCAGTGGTCAAGGCTATTTGGAACTCTTGTCCAAAGCTTATGGAGAGCACCCGGTTGGGGGAAATGGATGCAAACAAACATGCACATCCCCTAACCAACCTAAAAATGGTGACCAGGCCCAAGCAGGATGTTGCAAAATTGCAATTTTTGATATTCTTGGCTCCAGACCAGGACAAAGTCTGCCTTGCATCTCATAAGAAAGTCAAGGGCTCCCCCTTCAGGCCAAAAAAGTCAGCATCATTAAATCCCCACGCTCCCTGCTCCAGATACAACAGAACAGGACCCTAATGGGCAAAGCATTTTCTGCTTTCTGGGCTAATTATGCTAATTCCTTGATATTATGCAAATAACATGGCAGATGAAGGTGTCATCTTGTTCCAAAAGGGATTTGTTCAGCAGACTTTTCAGAAGTGTTATCCGTTCTGATTAACACCGGCATACATAATTCCCGGTGAGACTTCTGTTTCCACCTCTGCAAATGACTTCAGCAAGTCAGTATGCAAACACACCGATCTCGTTAGCACAAAATCCAATTTTAACTGACCTTGTTCTTACTGCTATGTCTCCCCACCGACACTCACTGTAAAGTTGCAAGAATGGCTTCAGGCATTTTTTAGGAAGCCTATAAAAAAGAATCTTGCTGGCCAAATATTAATATCAGAAACTGAAGGGAAATGTTTGGTGAAAACAGCATGCCAAAACTTGATCCCACCCCTACCCCACAAATTCCACAGCAGTACGTGAATAATACTACTTGTAGAGCATCCATTTACAACAAGTTTGAGCTGAGCTGAGGATCAGGGCCACTTCAAGTTGTCAGAACAGGATTTGTGTGGAGAGGAATACATGGCTTTTCTATAAAAGTGGGGCAGGGGCTTTTCCTGAAATGAAAGATAGATAGATAGATAGATAGATAGACAGACGGACAGACAGACTGCTGCCCCAAAGGAGGTTAAAGTATTCTGTCTGTAATTTTGTGTGTTTTTTTTAAAAAAAAGAACCACAAATTTGAGTCTGTTCAGGTTAAAGTCTGTACCTGCTCTGAGGAATTCAGTACAGTGGACGCTCAGGTTGCAAACATGATCCGTGCAGGAAGCATGTTCGCAACCCACAGCGTTTGCAACCTGCACCGTTGCATCTGCGCATGAGTGGGTTGCGATTTGGCGCTTCTGCCCATGCACAAAGCACGATTTAGCGCTTCCGGGTTTCGGTGGGTCCGTAACCCGAAAAAATGCAACCCGAAGAGCCTGTAACCCGAGGTATGACTGTATTAGGCACCAGAATTCTTTTAATCCCCAAGCAGCAATGGCAATCCACTAGAGGTACCTTAAAACTGTCACAAAGACTTTGTCCCTGCAGCAATAGTGAATTGCCACAAGTCATCTAGTCCAGCCCCCCGCAAGGCAATAATTTCCTAGGGGCTCCTCTTATGATTTTGTTAAAAAAAATAATTGGCTTTTCAATGCACAAACATCCCAATTAAGACCTGCAAAGTTTGTAATATGGTGTGGAGTGTGCATTAGGAGGGACGTGGGTGGCGCTGGGGGTTAAACCACAGAGCCTAGGACTTGCCAATCAGAAGGTCGGTGGTTCGAATCCCCTTGACGGGGTGAGCTCCCGTTGCTCAGTCCCTGCTTCTGCCCACCTAGCAGTTCGAAAGCATGTCAAAGTGCAAGTAGATAAATAGGCACCGCTCCGGCGGGAAGGTAAACGGCATTTCCGTGCGCTGCTCTGGTTCACCAGAAGCAGCTTAGTCATGCTGGCCACATGACCCAGAAGCTGTACGCCGGCTCCCTCAGCCAGTAAAGCCAGATGAGCGCCACAACCCCAGAGTCGGTCACAACTAGAGTTAATGGTCATGGGTCCCTTTACCTTTATGCATTAGACAGTGTTTTGGATCTGCCCTGAATGAAGAATGGATGAGTTCAGTTATCCAGAAGTGGTACTGGCACCGACGGGGGGGATTGAACAGATGAAGGATAAGGCTACCAGTAGCTACTACTCACAAAGCCTCTCTGTTGGAGATGGAGGGCATCTGGATGTCGTAAGCAGGGGCGGGGGGCAGTGGGTGTGCTGCTGTTGTGCTCATGCCCTGTTTGTGGAATTCCCAGTGGGGCACCTGGTGGCCTCTCCCAGAACAGGATGCTGTAGGGGCCAAATAGGTCACTGGCCTCATCCATTCCGCAGGGCCTGTAAGACAGAGCTATTCCACCTGGCTTTCAACTGGAACTTAGCCTGATCTTTTATTTCTCTTCTCTTCCCTCCCCCTCCCCTTTTTATGAAGATTACCCACTCTGGGATCCCACAGCTAATTCTCCCCTGGTCTCCTCACTGGCCCAAATAGGACTAATTTAGCCAGCTAGCCCTGGTGATCATCTAATGTTTACTGGATGGATTTCCCCCCCTAAATTGACTTTTGAATTCTGAATTTATTGTTATTCACGTTTTTATGCTGTTTTTTGTTGCATCAATTAAGTGTTATAAATTTGTTATTAGCCACCCTGAGCCCGGTTTTCTGAACCGGGAAGGGCGGGGTATAAATTATTTATTATTTATTTATCCAGCAGTATTTGTCGTATGTTCTTAAATTCTGAAGAGATTATAGCCTTAGACAAAAAGATGCTTTTACCAGGGTTCTCACCCAATTAATGAAATTTTAGTAGGTTAAGTTAAATTAATCCTCATAAATGACTGAAAACAGTAATTCTGAAGAAAAAGGTACACTTCCCTCATTTTTAGATGGTGCATGATTTTACAAAGTTGTTGCCTCCTGTGGGTGTGAACTCGTGAAAGAGAGACAGAGAGAGGTCCTGTTGCTCCTAATAGAACTTTCATGGCAACTGGTAGCTATTGCTCAAAGGATCATAGAATTGTAGAGTTGGAAGGGACCCAGGGGTCATCTAGTCCAACCCCCTTCAATCACAGATAAAGAAACCCTAGCAGATGGCTTCATGGTGTGTTCCATCAGATATTTTGGCACACACACCATGCAGCCTCACTATGGCATTTTCAATGTTTGCACAACACCTAGCACTCAGCAGCAATCACCACCACCACCACCATCATATTGAATTTCTACAGCACTGGGCATGTGGCAACAATTATAAAAAGAAAGAGGAGTATTTCCACATTTGCAGAAGACCAAGCTCTCACCAAGCCCCCAGCCAGCACGGCCAATGGTCAGGGATGACACAAACCTGAAGAATCATGTGGTGTAGTGGTTAGAGCAATGGACTAGGGCATGGGAGACCAGAGTTCAAATCCGCACTCAGCCATGAACCAGCTGGGTGACCTTGGGCCAGTCTTCCTTCCCCTCTCTCTCTCTCTCTCTCCTACTAAACCTACCTCACGGGATTGTTGTGGGAATAAAATGATGAGGGGGAGAACCCACGTACACTACCATGAGCTCCTGGAAGGAAAAGGTAAATGCAATAACTAAATTGACTTGATATCTTTCCGCAGGGCCTGCAAGACAGAGCTGTTCCGCCTGGCCTTTGGTCTGGACTCAGTCTGACCCTTATGTTTCCCTCCCCTTACGGTTTTGATCTATGGGCTATTTTTAAAATGAGACTGCATTTTAAATTGCATTTTAACCTGTATTTTAAATTGCTTTTTTTCTATTATGTTTTTACTGTTATTTTACTGGTGCTAGCCGCCCTAAGCCCAGCTCCGGCCAGGGAGGGTGGGGTATAAATAAAATTTATTTTTATTTTTATTATTATTAAATTGTAGTGCAGCAGAAGTTGGATGGCTACCTGTCAGGGGATTCCTCAGCCGTGATTCCTGCATTGCTGGGGTTGGGCTAGATGACCCCTGGGGTGCCTTCCACCTCTGCTCTTTCCTTCTCTGTTCTGCTTCCCTCTAAAGCGGAGACAAGGAACGAGGGGCCTTCCAGATACTGCTGGACTCCAAGTCCCGTCATCCCCAGCCAGCGCTGCCAACCGTGGGGGATGATGGGAGTTGGAGTCCCGTGACTAATGGGGCCGGGTGCTGCTGAGAGCCTGGCTGCTCAGAGGTCTTTATCCCACCGATTGCCAACTGCTGGGGGGCAGGAGAGGGCGAAGGCCGTTGCCTCCTCCATGTCCTGCCGGGGGGGCCTTCCCGTGGGGGCCCCCAGCGTGGCCCCTGGGAGAAACTCTGGGCAAGGTGTGAAAATAGGGTGCAAGGCATTTCCCTCTGGTGCACAAATGCTACAGGTGGAAGGTCCAAAGCGCTCAAGAAACAAAACAAAACCACTTTCCTAAAACAATGGGGTCAAGCTAACTAGAATAAATAAGTCTGTGGCCCTCCAGAGGCTTGTGTGCCGCAATGGCCCTCATGCCTGACCACTGGCCATGCTGGCTGCAGGGAGAGGGAACCAAATATTACTTGGGAGAGCTGCAGACTCTCCACCCCTGAAATAAATAAGTCAATTTTGCTTATGAACTTGCATACGTTCTCATGCAATCATAGGTAAACAAGGGGGCAGCCGGCGATTTGTGTGTTGCCAACGACATGAGCAGGAATTACATTCATGGAATTACAAAGTTGGAAGGGACTCGCAAGGGCCATCTAGATAGTCCATGTTCCTACAATGCAGGAATCACGGCTACTGATGACGCAACAGCCACTGACCACAGCAAAGGCAGCCAGGCTTCTGAGGCCCAGCGAGACTGGAGAGGTCCAGCCACAAGACAGCTAGAATGAGAACCATAATTACAAACACAGGTACAGATAAGAGGAGGAAGGCAGGGACACAGAGGAAGAGCAATTGAGGCTGGGGGCCTGGAATGAGGACAGAGAGCCATACAGACCAGGGTCTGTCTGGCAGAAACACACAAGGCCAGGGCACTGATGACAAATACTCCTTTGCTTTCTATTTTACTATTCCCCCGTATTCCTGAGATAGGCATTTCTCTATTGACTTCTATCTTAACCTGAAATACATCAGAAATAGCTTTTATAATCTTCTGCCAATATTCCTTTACACAAATACACTCCCACCACATATGTGCATATACCCCTAACTCTTAACCACAATGCCAACACTTAGGACTCAATCCTTTAACTATATATGCCAGTTGCGCCAGGGTTCGATACCATTTCAATAGGAATTTCCTATTTAATTCTTTATATTTACCCGTTTTTATTTTATCTATACTCTTTGGTATAAAATTATGATCTTAGCTGGTATGCTTGTTATTGCATTAGGATGGAAAGAGAAAGATAAATGGACAATGGAAAAATTGAATTATTATGTTTTTGAATATATACAATCTGATATATTTGAACAGGTAATGGCGGCAGATACATGGGAAAACAAATGTCAAAAGATTTTGAATTAATGGACAAGTTATAGGAATTGGATAGCATGGGGGGGAAGCCAACGCAAGCATCCAAATTAGAATGAATAATCTGTGCACATGGTTAAAGATTTGAAGAGAGAACAATTTTGGGGGGAGGGAGGAAGTGAGGGGGAAATTAGGATAAATGAGTAGGGACAAAAGTATATACTGTTATGTATATCTAATAGGAGGATGATTTTGATGCACGTTATTGTTAGATTTTCGGCTGAATTATTATTATTTTTTGTACGTTATTCGACATCCCTGGATGAAAGTGTGATCATAAAGAATGGGAAAATAAATAAATAAAAACAAAACAAAAACAAATACCCCTTTGCTGTACTCTTCTACGGAAAGGAGACCCTCCCCAAAACACGTTGCCTGCATGGCCCAGGGGACAAAATCCTGGAGTGCAATTAAAGTCTCCACTCAGTCAGCTGGCAAAGCTGACAGGGAAGTTCCAGAATCGGCGTGATGAACTGTTTCAGAAGGACTGGAGCAAATTTATACTTTATTTGAAAGAAAATTGTAAACATTTGAAAACGTTTGCAGCTTTAACACGAAATGTTTGGTAATGTGAAATTAAGGAGCTAATTTACATATAAGAGGGTGAATGTTAAAAATTGATACCAGGTATATAATGTATGGAGCAGATATACAGATCTCTTAGTATGAAAAACACCCAAATGGATTTCGCCAATGTAAGCACAGGCCCCAAAAAAGTTAAATATGGAAAATAAATGGTTGAGATACTCAGATTTATTGTTAGAGAATCAGGAAGGTTTTAAATTAAAACCGTTTGAACAAATTAAAGAAAGTGAATTGGCTACAATATTATCAGATTAATGAATTATATAAGATTGAAAAAACCAAATTGGAAACGGAGTTGTTAGATACCAAAGTCAAGAATATGTCTAAAATGTATAACTTGCTGTTGGAGTGGCATACAAAGGATGAACAAGTTAAATCGGTAATGATTGACTGGGCAAGAGATGTGGGACATAATATAATGTTGGAGGATTGGGAGAGGTTATGGAAGAAAGGGGTTAAGTTTACTGCATATACAATGTTAAAGGGAAATATTATGAAAATGATGTATAGGTGGTACTTAACCCCTGTAAAATTGGCAGAGATTTATCACAATAGTGATAATCTTTGCTGGAAATGTAAAGAAAAAGAAGGTACCTTTTTTCATATGTGGTGGACCTGTCCCAAGGTAAAAGACTGGGAGAAGATTTATAATGAATTGAAAAAAATGTTGAAATATACATTTATTAAGAAACCAGAGGCCTTTCTTCTTGGAATAACAGGTTTGGAATTGCCCAAGAAAGATGTTAAATTATTTTTGTATGCCACAACAGCTGCTCGAATTTTACTAGCTAAAAATTGGAAAACACAAGAACTACCAACAGTGGAAGATTGTCAGATGAAGATGATGGACTTTTTGGAGCTAGCCGACCTGACTGGAAGAATCCGCGACCAGAGAGAAGAGGAGTATCAAGAAGATTGGAGGAAATTTAAGGACTATTTGAATAAATATTGTAATATAAAAAATTAGAAATTACTTGAAATTACTAAATTGGCCTAGGAGTAAATTAGGATTTAATTAAATAGGATTGAGAACAGTAAGAAAAGTGAATAAATTTGATTATAATTGGAATATTGCTGTTTAATAATGATATTGGAAAGCTGTTACATCCAGATACAAGGAAACTCAGAAGGGAGGCACTAGAGGAAGTCAATTAACATGTTCATAAGGTTGGGTTTTTTTAACAATTAAGTTCGTTTTTATTGTTTGTTTGTTGTTGTTTTTCTTTGATGTATTTTTTGTGTGTGTTTGCTCTGGTTTGACCTTTGGTTGTGCAATGTTTGTTGCAATATTTATTACAACTGTGGAAAATTTAATAAAAATTATGGGGGGGGGGGAGAAACCAAAGGAAGGGGGGAATTGATACCAGGTAAAAAAGTAGTTATAGAAATTCGATGGATTTGTTAAAGATATGTGGAATTCAGAGGGAGGGAGGGAGGTTGATGCTCTTTCTGAGCAATATTTTAAGTTATGGATTTACATAACGAAAATGAAATGTGATATGGAAAACTCAATAAAAAATATGGTAAAAAACAACAACAAAGTCTCCAGTCAGTCATGAAGCTCAGTGTGTGGTCTGGGTCTCCTCGCCCAATGATAAAAAAGGGGGGGGGTGATAACCTTTTGTGCCACCACGAGTTCTATGGAGCAAATTCATGGGAGGGGGACGGAGAAGACCCTTCTGCTTGCCCCACCATCCTCGGTGGGCTCTTGTGTTTGCATCCTGCTTGCAGGTTTCCCACAGTGGACATCTAGTTGGCCACTGTGAGAAGATGATGCTGGGCTACATAGGGCCCCTGTGGCCTGATCCAGCAGCGGCTCTTCATAGGTTCTTAAGAAATAAATAAAACTAATGAGCGGCATGATGAATGGCTTCAGTACTAGCCAAATTGAGGAATGTCAATTTTTTATTGTTTCCACTCTGTTTGCAGGAAAAAGCGGGGGGGGGGACAGCCCAGGTTTGTTCCTGGGTACCAGTGCAAGGGTTGGACTCTGCTCTACTCCTGGTCAATGGCTACACAATGAAAACCAGAAAGGCACCATTTAGCTGGGGTCCATTCCTGCCTCACTGGTTGCCAGCAGTGAGGTCAAAGGCATTGCACGTTGCAGTGATGTCACAATAAGCATTGTGCTCATCTAGACATTATGAGGAAAGCAAGGCGAAATCATTGACCCAGAGCTGCAAAACGCAACACACGCCAGGAGGTCCTGGTACGTGTCCAGTTTAGACTTCCCCAACTTTCCTATGCTGGTGGGGACTGACGGGAGCTGGTGTCCAAAGCAGCGTTTTGAGATAGATAGACGTTTTGCTTGCATCCATCATCCTTGGCCATGTGGCAAGGGGCTGATGTTCTAAACATTTAGCCAGGCTCCCTTAAATGCAGATAGAGATGTGTTCCAGGAAGAGCCTGGAGCCTTGCAAAGTTCATTTGTTTACCGGGAAGAAGAGAAACCACATCAGAAAAGTTAGACTGTGTTGCCACTGCACAAAAGAAAAGAGAGATCCTGTCTTCAGGGAACTGATGCATAATCAAAGCTGCATGGACACCAGCCTTTGCCCAGCCAGTGCCCTCCAGCTGTTGGTGAAGGCTGGCGTACACTATGAGTTTGCCAAACCACGGTCAATACAAACCAAGGTTTGTACTTTAACAACAAGCTCTGGTTTCAGATCCTGGTTGGTTGGCTGGCAACAAACAAACCATAGTTAAAAGTCGCTGCACAGTGTTCAGAAGATCATAGAAACCATAGTTTAATAAATCATAGCATGGAATGAACCAAGTCAGTGTTAGCTGAACACACAACGGGGGAGGGGGCAACTGTGGGGATAAGCTTAATTTACTCTCCGCCCTCTTAAATTGCGGGGTGGGGGTACTGCTATTATAGTAGGTGTTTTCGTGTTTTTATACTGCAAACTGCCCTGTGGTCCTCGGATGAAGGGTGGTGTAGAAACTTAATAAGCTAAGAAGAGCCCAGCTGCAGGATCAGGCCCATGCAGCCCAGCCACTGGAGGAGTAAGCGGGATGCAGCCCACCTGGGGGGGACACCCCTGAGAGGGGGTGACATCACCGCTCCACCCCCCTGGGATGGCTAGCCCCGCCCCCAGGTGCCCAGCTTGCACCGCTCTGGGTGCTGGAGCAGCTAGCTCCGCCTCTTAGCCCAGCATCCTGTTCTCACAGTGGCCAACCAAGTATTATTTTACTGTTGTTAGCCGCTCTGAGTCCGGCTTCGGCTGGGGAGGGCAGGATATAAATAAAATTCTATTATTATACGTCCAAAGTCATCCAAGAGCCAAACTTAGTGCCTGTGGGCAATGAGTTGCACAGCAGGGTCCCACTCCAGATCCCCATGCCGTGCGGCCTGCCCACCCCCAGATTAGGGCGGGGGCTTCTACTGTGTGCGGCGGCTCAGGGATGGGCGAACCTGCGTCCCTCCAGCTGCGCCAAGACTCCAACTCCCATCAGCCCCCACCAGCCAGGCCAACGGCAGGGCATGATGGGAGTTGGAGTCCCGTTCTACCCGCGGTCTGCTCCAGCTGCGGAGCTGCTCTTGCGACGGGGAAGGGGGCTTCCCTCCAGGCCAAGGCATGGGGGTGCTGGGTCCTCTCCCCGCGCCCTTCCCCGCTTACCTCTTTCCAACGCAGCAGCTTGAGGCTGCGCTTGAGCGGCTGGAGCGAGGTGCGCGCCTTGGAGCTGTCCACCGTTACGGGTCGCGGGTTCCTGCGCGGGTGCGGCCGAGGCCCCGGAGCCGCGGGACCCTTCTTCTTCCTGGGCGGCGGCTCCTTGGGCGCTGCGCCCCGGCGCCCGGCAGAGCCCAGGCGCGCCACGGCACCTGCCCGAGCCGAGGGCGCAGTGCCAGGGGCTCTTCTTGGAAACGCCGCCGCCGCTGCCGCCGCCCCCTCCACGCCCACCGGCTGACCCTCCGGCCGCGGCGGCCGCGGACCCCCCGCCGCCCCCTTGCGCTCCTGCTCCTCCTCCTCCGCCGCCGCCTTCCTCTCCTCGCGCGCGGGGGCGGCGTCTGCGTCTCCCACCGGCATCTCCATCCTCAGGCTGGCGGCGTCTTCGGCTGCTCGCTCCTCCTCCGTTGCCGGCACTGGGGAAACTGAGCATGCTCCCCGTGGGAGCCTTCTTTGTGGCTTTGTTGCGGCGACGTGCGCGCAACCGAAGAGCCTCCGCGCCCTCAAGCGCGCCCTCAAGCGCAGCCTCCACCTTTTCCCCTTAAAGCGCCTGCCTGTATTAAATATTATTAGTCCGCTCAGTTCCCTATCACCTCCTCTTCCATTTCTTTCTGCCTCAGTTTACCACGACGCGCATTCAACTTTTTTCTTTCTGCCTCAGTTCCCCCATGTGTTTTTTCGGCTTCAGTTTTCCTATGCCTTTCCCCCTCTCTGCTTTAAGCTTCCTTTAAGTTTGCTTCCACATCAGTTTCATTCATATATTTTTTTAAAAAATCTTCCTCAGTTTCCCTCAAGTTTTTTCTTTCCTCTTTCTCCCTTTTCTCCCCCCCCCCCCATTTTTTATTGATTTTCCAAATTTGTAACAAATATAACACAGAAAAAAAATACAATACTAAAAAAAGAAATAAAAACAAACATATAAACACCTATTACTTTAAGACCTAATTTAATTTTCATTGTTAACTGACTTCCTCCAATCCCCCCATACTGAGTTTCATTGAATCACCCTGTGACAACTCTCCAATATCCTCTTTCTACTCAAATTAACTCCTTCAATTTACTATATTCTTCTCTTTTCATAATTATCTAAATCCATAGTATTTTACAGTTCATTCTTACTCTAATGCTAGGCCTATTTGATACTTTCAAGTGACTTCTGCTTATCTTATGTTACAATATTTAGCTAAATAGTCTTTAAAGTTCTTCCAATCTTCTTGATATTCCTCTTCTTTCTGATCGCGGATTCTTCCAGTCAGGTCAGCTAGCTCCTCTCTCTCATTTTTCTGCCTCAGTTTCCCTCATGGGACTTTTTTCCTTCCTCCATTCTTCCTCATTTTCCTCAAAACACCTGCTTTTCTTCTTCATTTCTGCCTCAGTTTCCATCAAGATGCCCTCCTCCCGTTTTATTTTATTTTTTGCAGTTTCCCAAACTCTGGACTTCCCCTTGTCACAAATTAAAATAATTTCATTTAAGAATTAAAATAAATGTGGATGTGGGTGACTCCTCACATGCAAACAGATGTGTCCCAAATATCCACTGTTAGCAAAATCCTAAAATGCAGTCACTGGGCCTGGCCAGTGCACACCTGTGCCTCTTTTTACTCAGGAGCAAGCCCTACTGAGTTCAGCTGGGACAATGAAAATGGGGAAAAGAATTCTATTTCCTTCAAACTGCGAAAAGTATACAGAAAAATGGACTCTTGTTAAGCACCCCAAATAAAAATAAACTAAAAAATAATTAAAATTTATGGGTCATGCTGCAGATACCTTTTCTGATAACCAAATCCAATTAATAAATAGTTCATTGGTATTGTTCATCTATCTTCCCACCATGCCTGATCAATATCCAGTGTATGCTTAGCCAGGGGAGGGAGGAGAAGAGAAATAAAACAATAATTTCCAGGGGATTAGCTGCGTTAGGCTTTTCAGCAAAAGCAACCAAATCTTGTGTCTCCTTAAAAACTTGCAAAGTTATTATTGTATAAGCTTTCATTGATCACAGTCCATTTCATCAGAATAATAATTTTTATTGGACAAATTCAGTATTTTTTGTGCATCTTTAAGTACATTCTTAGAGGGCTGATGCTAGGAACTGTCTCTTATCTAAGATGCCCAGACAAGCCTGGAAATAATTCCTTTGCCTGGTGAGCCATTGGCTGCCAGCCAGTGTAGCCAGTATTGAGCTAGATGGGCCACTTGTCTGACCTAGCATAAGGTAGCTTCTTCTGTTCCATGGCACACGACCTCATGACTCTGTGGAAACTGCTGCTGACTATATATATAGATATATCTACTGGGCTGGCCCTGAGCAACAGCCCTTTCCTTCCTCCTAGACTGGTCTCCTTCTCTCCTCCTACTTGGCCCTCCAAGTCCCATTCACCACCCTTTCCTGTGTGAGGAGGGTATCTTAAGTTCCTTGCCCTGCTGGCTCTGTGTGGCCTTCTGATTGGGTGGGCATTGCATGGGCAGACCCTGACCACCAATGACCGTGGACAGAGCTGTGTCTGTGTCACAGTCCCAGGGGCGGTCAACAAATGTTTCAGACTGATGTCACAAGGAAATATCCCAAGTCTGGATGAAAAGGTACTGTGGGGTCCGCTATTCGGACCTGAGCTGTCTTTGACGCATAAAATCAATAAGAGCCAAAAACAGGGGAGATCCAATAAACCTTTTTTTATTCAGCTGAACAAAAGAGAGGGCAAACCTTTAGGATATTGTTCTGTTCCACCTTAAAAGGGAACAGGCATGACTGTTGTGTGTCACATGGCTGTTTACTGCCAGCACAGTCTGCTGGGAACTTCCGAATGTATATAGCTTTTGTGTTACTGCTGATTTGCTGTAGTGGCACCCGCCCTGTGGAACGCCCTCCCACCAGATGTCAAAGAGAAAAACAACTACCAGGCTTTTAGAAGACATCTGAAGGCAGCCCTGTTTAGGGAAGCTTTTAATGTTTGATATATTTTAATATTCTTTTGGAAGCCGCCCAGAGTGGCTGGGGAAGCCCAGCCAGATGGGTGGGGTATAAATAATAAATTATTATTATTATTATTATTATTATTATTATTATTTTAAAAACAACCCCTAAAACAGCAATTTAACATGAATTTTACTATCTCATGAGACCATTGATCCATAAAATGAAAGCAATAAACCATTTACTGCAGTCACACAATCAATCAATCAGTAGCTGAACTGAATTCCACACAGTCACAAAAACAAAACAAAAAGTGTCACAAAAACACAAACACAAAATAAATAGCAAAAACAGACAGACCTCAGCATAACACTCAAAACGGAAGTGTGGCACTCAAAACAGAGCACGTTTGGCTTCCGAAAACAGTTCTCAAACGGGAACACTTAATTCCGGGTTTGCAGTGTTTGGGTTCCAAGTTGTTTGAGTACCAAGGCGTTTTGAGAACCAAGGTACCACTGTAATAATAATAATAATAATAATAATAATAATTTATTATTTATACCCCGCCCATCTGGCTGGGCTTCCCCAGCCACTCTGGGCGGCTTTCAAAAAAATATTAAAATACTGTAATACATCAAAGAGTATAAGAGTAAGAATAAGAATAAACAGGACATCCCTATTTTCAGCGGAAAAATGTTGGCGAGTATGCAAAGAGGAAGCAGCTCTTGCAAAAATGTACCAGCTAGAGGATGCAGCTTTTTGCCCCTGCAATTTAAAATTGAGGAGATGTCTGCCTTGTCTGGACTAACAAGAAAAGTAAACTGAAACTTTTTACAGAATGCCTTAGGTCCTACTAGGTTTTTGCTTGGAGGGGGCTTTGTCTCCTTTTGGTGTCTGGGTTATGTTATGTATTGAAGTTCTCACCCTGGCCACCAGGAGTATCGTGTATGTAGTTTTCACTCAGGTCCACGTCAGTTATTTTAGGCGGGAAACCCTGGGTTATTGTTGCTACAATGTTGACGGCCGGCTGCCTATAAAAGCAGGCCGGCTGAGCTGTTTGCTGTTCAGTTCTGTTCCAGCTTACAAATAAAGAGCTGCTTTGGAGAAATCACTGCGTCATCTGCTATGTCTACTCACTATTCAACACTGGCGACGAGGATGGGATCGATGGACATCAGAGCACAGCCAAATGCGGCCACCCTCTGAGCTGAGCTGAATCATGGAGCTGAAACACTGAGCAAATCACTGAACAGAACCAATTCAGAACTGACTGTTCTGGCTAGAGCACAGGGTTCCATCCATCGCCATCTACACCGGCATCGGAACCATGGCTTCACTCGTGCCTCTACCACCATTTGCCCCAGCCTCTGAATCATGGGACTCCTACCTCGCTCGGTTCAACTGCTACCTCCAAGCCAACAAGCTGATGGAAGTATCACAGGAGCGTAAGTGGGGCCTATTCCTTTTTTTTTTTTTTAATAATTTTTTATTAAGGTTTTAAACAGAGAAAAAAGAAAAACAACACACACACAAAAAAAATACAAAATTTAACAATAAAAACACAAAACATAACAATTAAAAACAAACTCTCTTTTCCATTCCCAATTTTAAATTACTTATTTTCTGGACTTCCTCATACCTCCCTCTTTTGTATTCCAATCTGCATTATTTGTCCAGCAGTTTCTTTTCCACTTTTTTAAACCCAATCTTTAATTTAATAGAATATTAAAATATATAACTTCAACTTTTTTAAACATAATCCTTGTTCTTAATGTCATATACCTTTAAATTTTTCCCTTTTATTATTAAATTTCCATTTCTTTAAACATCTTTAATCTTGATCTTTAATCTTAATCTATCCTTAACTTTAACCTGTACAGCTGGAAACCACTTATTTTCAATCCAACATCACTCTAACATTCCTTAATTTTGCAGTGTTTCTGAAGATAGTCTTTGAATTTCTTCCAGTCTTCCTCCATCGACTCTTCTCCCTGGTCACGGATTCTGCCAGTCATTTCCGCCAATTCCATATAGTCCATAAGTTTCATCTGCCATTCCTCCAGCGTGGGAAGTTCTTGTGTCTTCCAATACTTTGCGATGAGTATTCTTGCTGCTGTTGTTGCATACATAAAGAAAGTTCTATCCTTTTTAACACCATTTGGCCCACTATGCCCAGGAGAAAGGCCTCTGGTTTCTTGGGGAAGGTATACTTAAATACCTTTTTTAATTCATTATATATCATTTCCCAGAAAGCCTTAATCTTTGGGCACGTCCACCAAAGGTGAAAAAATGTACCTTCAGTTTCTTTACATTTCCAACATTTGTTATCGGGCAAGTGATAAATTTTCGCAAGCTTGACTGGAGTTATGTACCACCTGTATATCATTTTCATAATATTCTCTCTTAAGGCATTACATGCCGTAAATTTCATACCAGTGGTCCATAACTGTTCCCAGTCAGCAAACATAATGTTATGTCCTACGTCCTGTGCCCATTTAATCATAGCCGATTTTACCGTTTCATCTTGAGT